TCATAAATTCAGGAAAATGTCATACACAGATAGACATATAGGCTTAACACTAACCACAACTACAACTGAGAACTGTGCTTAAGGCACTTCAGAGATATGACAGTGGTTCAAAAAGACAAAATAAAAAAACTTCTAAGAGCACAGCAGCGAATTTCATTACCTTTTATGGTTCTCCGTGTTGTAAACACCATACATGTGCATTGATGTGTGCATAATTGGAAATGTGGTCACAGGCCTTTCTCGAAAAAATGTCTTTATGAGCAGTTCACAATTAAGAACTGGTTATCAGGGGTTCTTTGGGTTAGAGCTTCTCAATCAGTGCTCAGTGTGAGAGAAAAATGACTCTGGAGTAAAAGTGGCAGGATTTGGATGAGAAAAGAGGAAATTAATTGGGACCAGTCAGGACAAGAAGAAACCTTCTCTCCATGACATATGTAGCAGTAACTGTACATCTAATCACCCAGATGACACACTTGGCATTAACAAATTTGCTCATATTGTAATGAGTGAGAGCTGGTGTGCTTGAGGGGTTTGGAGTGGTACCAACGCATTAAACTACAAACACTGTCTCAGCTATGTACAGGTTAATGCTTTGCTAATTCCCAGCTCTGCTTCTTTGTAAATCTTGGCATTTCTGCCTGGACCTGTGTCCTAAAGGTGCTATTCTAGAGGTGCCCTACATTTTGATTCCTACAGAAACGGCGACTTGCAATGCCAGGAATTCAAGCCTTGAGGGGCAGGTGATATATTTGGACATGGTGCTGCATGTTGCCAAGCCCTGCTGTCCTTCACTGCAAAGTATATGCTGTATTTCAGCAGCATGTCAAGCCTGGTGGCGCACTGCACAGCTGCAATAAGTCTGGAGTTATTTCAATCTGTCAGGACGCATGTAGAACACGCTTTAAACTGTACAGCCGCTTGGTAAAAGCAATGGACAGCATGGGTTCCAGATTGGAGGAGGAGGATACTGCAACAAGTACTTCAGTGCACTTTGAGGTATTGGTGCTTTCTACTCCATCACTACGTTTTGGAGAGACATTTTGCACTTTTTACTCCACGGCATTTATCTCAAGGCTGCTTCTAACCAAACAGATTAAAATTATACAAAAACATGACAAATTATAAAGATAAGATAACTTTGTTCTCTAAAAAGCCACATTATGGTTTGATGACAACTGTGTATTTTATAACTTATTTAGTGACTTATACAGCCTTGATGCACCTGGTCAAGCTGAACATATTGCTGTACTTTGACTGTATTCTCTTTTTTGCTGATTGGGATATTGGATGTGTTCCCAATAAGTTAGTTTGGACATTTTGTAGGGTAAATGATTAATCGATAATTAAAAGTATTATTAGTTATAGTATTTAATATAGGGTAGTTAGCAAGATGAATGAGTCCGAACTAGAAAAGTTGGCCCCTCAGTTAAAAATGGCTGCAAATTAATCACTTAAAAAATTTAATGAAACAGTGTACTCAACATATCTCACTGCAAAGTTCCAAACTGAGACTTTTCCTGCTCTCTATGTAAAGAATTTGAGAGCTTCTTCCACCACTAGCAGTCACATATGGTACATGATGTAAGCATCCGAGCTGACATGAGCTGATGAGGTTGTGGTGTTTAGGATGACCTGAGGGTGACATCACTGAAGACCTCTGTTAACAACCAGATGATACAGGTTCCTTTGAGCACAGCTCTCTGTGGGTGTGATGAGATTCATCAGGTTACAGGGATGGAACTGGGAGACAGCTGACTGGTGAATGATTTAAGGTCTACCCCTGGCCTCTGCAACTTCTCAGTAGAAGTTAAATCCAAACAGCTCCAACCCTGGGAACTATAGACTCTCTGCGAAAATGTGGGAACTTGCTCTTCAGTGTCTGAACCTCACGGCTTTTAATCCATTTCACACACTGTACCACATGTACAAATCACAATTGCTTGGATCAATATGGGTCTTCTTGTACTTCTTTCTAATGAATTCCTAAAAAAGCAGAACCCACAAATGTTTTGTCTTGACAGAGAAGAAATTCCACTTCCACAAATCTCCATTGAAACTCACACTGATGTAAATCCAGGGTGATTAGCAGTTTTTTTAAAGAATACAAAGAACATAACATTTGTCTATGAAAATTATTAGTTCCACCAGATTAGCTGTAGTATGAGGTTCTGTTTTAGGACTCCACAATGCCTGATTAATTGCCTGAACATGTAACATCCTGGATGTTTGACAATCTGATAGATTTTTGGCATTTCTGATTAGCTGCCTTGGAGTTTGAACAGTTCCTCGATCCTATTTCCCATATGGCTGCTGTCAAAAGATCCATTATAAACTTGTTTGCTTTGGTAGGATGAGGTGGTAAGTGTAGTCTTGACTAAGACTGTGCTGTGATATGAATAAAAACTTAACTTTAATGCAAAACAGACCATACTGTCTGCATCTTCCCAGCCATCTGTGAGCCCATATTTTCTTTTCTTTTCAATCAGTGAATGTGCATTTACATTTAGGTTATTCAGAGAAGCCAGGTTTGGCAGGTAATCGGATAATGTGTTTACATGCACTGTAGTAACCTGGTTACTGTAAATCCAAATATGCAGGCAGCAGGTCAGTAATCAGCTTTCTCCTGTACAACGTACCTTTTTTTGAGAGCATGGCCCACTGATATTAACTGCATTAGTGGCAGAAGACCTGAGTCCGTCTTGGCTTCTCCCGTTCCACTGTTACTTTCCCTGTCGTAAGTCTTTGTCATGCACATGTGTATGTAAAAAGCCAATTAGATTATTGTTTAGCCGTATACATGGCCAAGAAAACCTGGTTCCTGAAGGGCATGTACACAGACTGACTGGGCCACACATATTTGCAGACAGGGTTAATAAAAGAACAACAGTGCGCAGCTATATATGAGGTGAACACACACCAGCGTTCATACACACTACGGAGAAGTGTGGAAATAGAAATAAACATTTTCAGTTGTGGAAACATTTTAATCATGCTATAGAGAAGAATGGGGAAATACTCTTTCACTGCCCTGACATGCATAAAACCGGTGGTTTTAAAAGCTTGTCATCTCACATACATAATTGTGCCTTTATGTCTTTTTTAATATTTAACTTTGAAGGATGATCAGACCAGTCTTTGGTCATGGATTGAGTTATTATTAGTATAAATCAAGCTGAACACCAAAGCTACTTAAATAGTCTGGAAAAAGAAGAAAGAAAAAACTGATCATGTGTGAGAAGGCTGTTGTGCTATTCTGATTATTTTCACCACAGACCTAAACCACACAGGGATGCCTGAGGGCCTCTATTGAGACCTGCACTTTAATCTGTCTTTCTTTATTTTCCATTTGTTCCTATCTGCCCACAGGTGTTGGTGGCGGGGTGGGGGTGGGGGGGGTTCTTCACTTTGAACTCCAGAAGGGCCTTGTCCCGACTGTGTTCAAACATGCAGGGACATCCCACCTGTCTCCCTGCCCTCTCTTTTTTCCCACAAACCCCCCTCCTTTCCCTTCTCTTCCACTACCTCTCCTCCCTCCCCCTCTTCCCTCCAAAAACACTGACTGAACCATTTTCTGTCTTCACATCCTCCCTCCAACAACTGTCCCCTTTGTGTTCAGGATGTGTTCAGGTATGTTTACAGAATTGGAGGTTGTTGTATGTTAGTTACTGCTCCCCGTTTTAAGTTTTACTGTAATTATGCTGGTAACACAGCAGGAACGAAGCCGGAGTTTGTCATTATTCTGCCTGGGAACTACAACTCTACAGCTGTGAACCACGTTTAAGGCTTTTTAGGAGAGATTATCAGTTGTTGCGAGACACAAGTGGTGTTTTTGTAAAGTGCACAGCAGAAAATTTCCTTCATTTTTACTTAGGTTCGACCAACAAAAAGGGGACAGACACATCGGAGTCACCTCAAAGTATAACGTGCTGGTGTTGAAAGTTTTTTTCCCTCCTTTGGGCAGAAAATCTCTCTCTTAAATCTGATTTACATATTTCTTTTAGGATTAGCAGATCTTTAAGGCAAAGTTACACACCATCACACCTCTTCTTTGGTACAGAAATTCTGAATTATTTATTGATATAAAACTTAGTTGGACAACTGGCTAGATAAATAAAATGTTCAAAGAAAAGTGTAACTTCACTTGAGACTCTTCAGACAGCTTTTTCATGTAGCTGCAGTCACAGAAGATTCCATCCAATTGGCAACAGATGACGGTTGACAGCTGATATCAAATAAGATCACAATATTGGCAAACTGTAGTGGTGAGGTGGGCAATATTAAACATTTTGAAAAATTTGGATAAATGTTAATTTTCTTTGATTCTGTCCATGTTCTGCATATGTTCTAAACATCTAAAAATATATATTGGCATATACTGACTGTTATCTCCAGCTCAAACGTGCATCCAAAGTGTAAATGCTCATAGTAGTATGCGCAGGGAAACAAGTCGACTTCTTTTCTGTCAATGCCTCGAACCAAACACGACAACTTTACAGATTAAAAAAAAGTTTCAAGCCAGGATATGAGGATCCCGGAGCAGAGTTTAAAGAACATAAAACAAAAGCACATCTCAGAGCGCAACCCTGAATGTTCACCAACACTCAGCAGAACCAATAAAGCTCTTCTTTTAGCAGGCAGGGCTGCGCCAAGCTGCATCATGCTCTCTCCTCACCATTATCATCCACAAAGTCAGTATGAGGCATGCATTATAGATGAGACACATCTTCTCGGCTACATCTCAGACAGCAGAGGATGTGCAGCAATCCCTACTGATAATACATATGCCTTTTACCACCAATCTCTGCACATACAACCACTTAACGGCTTCAACTGTCCGTCATACTAACCTGGTAATGTCCCCTGTGAATAATACATGAGCAAATACCCATCAGACTTCCCAAACAGGCCTGAAAATCCTAATTCTGTGAGCCGCCAGCAGGAAATTTTAACCAGTGATACTAGAGAGATAAAATAGGACAAGAAAGGATGGGTGCACCTACCGCATACAGCGATCCCTCGTAGATACAAGCTCCTAGGATAAAGATAAAGGCGGGAAAAGAAAGAAAGACAGCATTAGAGTCTAGTCATGATCACACTTTTTTTGTTATGGATTATGTAAATCTGTCACTGTAATTCCTGCAGACACTCGGGTCAAACAGCAGATCAGCCACATGAAAGATGACGAATAAATTGCCTTCAAACTCTTGGATGTGAGTTCCTGTAAGTCCTTAGTGTCAAGCATACAGTCAAACTCTGAAAGGGGTCAATACGTCTCTATAACACAGAGAAAAATGTCAGGTGAATAAACAGATTCTGAATCCCAATGGGAGAATAATCCAGGAACAAATGTCCAAAATCTCCCTGACCTGAAGCTCAGTCACAAAGCAGCACACTGTAAAAAGGTCTCATCTTACAGGGATTCAGATTTTATTATTACAGTATCACAAATGTTGAATGAAGAAGCCCTCCCTTTGTTGCAGTTATAGACTAACCCCAGGAAACAGTTGAACAATCCTGATTGTCTCTAATCATTGTCAAATCATCAATGTTGAGCTAAGCCTGAAAGTCTAGCTTAGTCTGAGTCTGAGATGTACTACAATGGCCACCATTGTCTTGACTTTGGGATTTGGCTGAGCAGTAGATACAGTTTAACAGATATCAGGCTGTGCCATTATATATCTACTACCATCTGACAAGAATGTAAATCCCTACATTAACCCACTTATGAACTTAAACATGCAAACCTCCTCTGAATGTAACCCTTGTCCAAGCACACACTTAGTTGATTAAACAATAGTACATTGTAACTGCTGAGGCTAAGATAAATTATGCTAGCTAGCTCTACTACCCTGACTGGAATTTTTTACTTGAATGTCACAGGCGTGCTCATATGTCCAGACAACATCAGTCTAGATCCGATCCTCACTTCTAGTAAAACCTCAGATTTTTTAACTTCAGTTTATTTAAAGTGCCCACCCATAAAGTCCCTGCACACTTTACAGGTTAATATATAACATCTGACACACAACTGTGAGACAACCCACAATCTTTGGTATCAAAAGCCCTCCACCATGAGAAGAGTGTGTGCATGTATCAGATGGGGAAAATATTCAAAAATCTGTGTTTTAATTAGTTCCATCCACAACAATGAGATGGCTCAACAATGTGCTTACCAGAACTTATCAGACCCAACTCTTTCTTTAGCTACACCACTGCCTTCCAAAGCCAAAGCTACCAAGCAGTGTTCAGCTAACACAAGTCTCCTTGTGCCATCAAATATCACAAAAGCAGGCAGATTCAAAGAAACCAGACCATCAGCATGCTATTCATTACCCAGCTAGCAATGATACATAGCCTTTTGTACAAATATGCATGGCAAATTTCGCCACAAAAGTAATTTAGAGGTGACACAAAGACAAACAACCCTTCACTAAGGGCCACTTAGAGTCGCCAATTAACCTACGCATGTCTTTGGACAGTGGGAGGAAGCAAGAGCACCTGAAGAGAACCCAAACAGACACCAGGAGAACATGCAAACTCCATCCTTAACCTAACACTGTCTTTATAAAGACTTGACCTGAGGGTTCACCTGACATAACCACTCCCAATCAGTATTATATCTCTTATTTTGTCTTCCAACTCCTTAAATTAAAGAGGTCATATTATGCTTGTTGGCTTTTTCCCTCTCCTTTATTGTCATAGGTTTGCATAGTGAAAAAGCCCAAAGTCCAGTCCAGTCCAAGCCCAAAGTCCCACACAAAGCACTACTCTGAACTGCCTGGAAACAGCTTGTTTGTAGTCCAGCCTTTTCCCTTTGAGCCCTGTGATGACATAGCAAAATGCACGTCATAATGCTCGCCAAGCTGCTAGTCCGACACGGCCTTAAAAACACCGGTGGTAAAACACACTGAGCTGCAGCACAGTAACAAGACGCCCTCTCCCTTCCAAACATTAGCTACCCTCCAGGCAGTCAATGGACATAAAGTTGTTACTGTGATGTAGAGACCGAGCTCAGTCAAAACTTTATGGATGAAAGATACATTTGTTACAGATTAATAACTCACCACTCTGAAAATCTTGCTCTAGTCCATGTTGCTAAAGTGGTAAGGGGAACATTTACAGCTGAACCGAAGAGGCTTTTCATGACCCGCCCTACTCTGCTTCTGATTGGCTAGTAGTCCTTAAATAGGAACTTTGCATGTGCAACTCCCAACAAAGATCCTGTAGAGGTAAGATGCATCACTTCATAGCTAAAACGAAGCGTTCAACACACAGGGTGAAAAGAGGAGCTGCAGTAACGTGCAGTATGACTCAAATACATGTAAATCTACAAGGGTACAAACCCTAAAATAATTTTTTGAACCTGAAAATTAACATAATATGACCACTTTAAAGCATTTACCCACATTTTAATTCAGTGTAGCCATTGGGTCTTCCAGAAATTTGAAAACCAGAAAATATGCAACCTTTAGATTGAAATGGCAGGGTGCTGATGATTATCTCGGTTCAATTTGAGGGCTAAATGTTAAGAAAACACAGACAGATGGACACGTGCCTCAGCACAGCTTGAGGTCTGAGCCTCACAAAATCAGACTGGAGAAAGCTGAGACGCCTCAAGGGAGAGTAGCCTACAGCTAGAGGTAAACATTTACCAAATTGGTCCCAGTCCACACAACAAGAGTAGAGTTACTGTTGTATTCTCACACAAAATGCCCCAGAGCGAGTCTGTTTATGCTGCTGCTTCACGCTATTGTCTCTTTATCTCTCCATATGGGAGAAAAGTACACTACAAAATATAATCTGGCAGTTTAATCAGTTGGCGGGGCATACAGAAGTGGTTTTACATTACTGTTCAGCTGCTAAAGAAAACTGTTTCCAGAAAGCAATTAACGGTTGAGATTTAAACAATTATTAACACTGCTCACTCTGAGGGGTCAGTCACTAACAAATGTTAGTGTGAGTGTGTCATTTTATCAAAGAGTGAGTGTGAATTCAGTCTAACCTTGTTTTCAGATTTTTAAAAAGGGTGATTATATTTAGATTGTGTTGCGCAAATATGCGAGTGGGGATTTCTGACACAACTTTACACACTAACAAGGTGATTTCAGCTTCAGCTTCTGCCAAAACATCTTGGCCTCATAATACAGTAGTTTTGTATACTTAAGTGTAGATGTAATTTACCGTAGTTAAAGAGTACAAATGTTCAACATACATGTGTTGAACTAACTATGGAGTTACTCCAAAAAAAGGACAGCAGTTTGAAGCTAAGCTTTTAAACCAAAAGCAGCAACAATGCCTCTGTCCTTTTTTGGATTAACTCTCATTCCACATACTCCTTCGTGTTTGCACTGTAACATTGCTTGGGCGAGGAAATAACTTATAGAGAATTCTAGAAATGTAAAGCCCTTTTCACAAGATGATTCTTTAACAGAATCGGGAGATATCAAACACTACTTTCTTGTGATCAAGGCTTAATGCCTCACCAGCTCGGAATAATCATGGTCTAAATGACTTTCATCATCATCTTGGAGTTGTTCCTTTTCAGCCATAAAAGAAATAGGCATCAAAGAACATCACAAAAATGAGAAAATATGTAGGCTTACACATATTTTACCACATTTTTCTATTTTGAGAAATGGAATAATGAAGTAGTGTCAGATTTCCTTCAATCAAGTGAATATTTAACTATTTATGATGCAGGGAAAACAGCACTGCACTCTTGTTTTTGTATCCCAGAAAGCATTGATTTGTTGGCAGGTGAAAAAACTAAACTGTGTTAAAACTGGGCTTAATTAAGAAGTAGTAGAAGTAGTGTCAGATTTGCTTTAATCAAGTGGATATTTAAATGCTGTTGCAGCAACAATTGTATGTATCCTAGACTTTTAAAAGACCTTATGTTGTCAAAATTTAGACATCTTTGGACCTGCAAATCATCAGATCAGTGCTTCGTGGGATAGAAGTGCAATCAAGCTTCATGGACAGTTGAGAAAGTCTAATTTAAAGAATACCATTGCTGGAATAAGTTCAGTTACTTGCCTCAAAAACATTATCAACCAAAAATAATGTCCTAGGTCAACTGTAATCTGGTTTGGTCAGGGGTAATAATTCTCCAGATCTCACAGCCACATTCAGCAGACTGTAAAGAAATCTTAACTGAAAAGCAGCATGTGAGGTAAGCTCATCTACTCCAAACTAAAGTCGACAAAGTCCTCTCTCCATCTCAGCATCCATCCAATTCACAGAGCAGCACTTAATGTCGATAACATTTCAACTTTTATAACTATTCTGCTCTGCTTGCCAACGCCAACATGCTCTCTTCTCAACGCAAGGAGGCAAAGGAGTATGTTGCTTTATAAAAGTTAGAATTTTATTGAAGCAAGTGCTGCCAAGCACATTGGATGCATGCCGAGATGAGGAGAGGACTAATGATTTTGTTAGAAAGTCTGAAGTCAGGTTCTGCTCCTGCATGTGAGCAGAGAAACTTCCACGTTCCACATTTCAACATGCAGCTGACTCTTTCCCACAGCAACCGGGCTTTGATAGTAACAGGCCTGAGTTTGGTATGGACTGGGTCAGTTCAGTAACCTGCTTTAGATTCTGCTCCTGACAGTCTTATGCATTATAACTCCACTGATGGGAATACTGTAGCTGTGCATGAGCAGATCTTTTAGACTTCATGCAGTGTAATGAATATTTAAGGGGTAGAGTGGCCATGAGCAGGATCAGATTCAGAGATGTGTTGAGATATTAAAGACAGTGAAAAAGCAGAACAGATAAACATCTTGCTTATCTATTAAGTCTCCTTTGCAGTTTGTTGAATGTGACTGTGAGCATCTACAGAATTATCATCTATGGAGCAGAATACAGTCTCACTCACCTAGTAGATTATCACAGCATAAATATTGTATTTTTGAAGCAGGTTAATGAACTTGTTCCAGACTGCATCTTCTTTGAATTACTTTCTCAAACCGACGTTGATGTTTGACGTTTGACTTCCCTGCTATCTCACCAAGAACTTAAGAGATCTGCAGACCAAGAAATGTGAAGACTTTGTGTTCATTTTGCTAAATAAATTTTTTTACCCCTCCAGGATACATACAATTTTGTTAAAACAGCATTTCAATGGTATTTCCACATTGAAATATAGTCACTGAAATGCTGTTGAAACAACATATGTAACTTTAAAAACTTTTCAACCAAATATATCACAGCTGTTCACCCACAAATCACCTAATCAATGCTTTGTGTGTAAACACAAAGGGGATTTCACTAATCTGAGTATGGCAATGGCTTTCTCAGCAACAGTAAAAACTCTCGCTCTCTCGATGATGAATACTTGTCTGCAAAATTCACTACTTTAAAACTCTGAAAATCCTGAAGCTGGAATGGCAGAAATTTAAGTCTCTGCCCTTTTCCCTGGGAAACAATAACCAGCTCAGGGGATCCCAAAAAAGGATCGTTGAGGGAGTTCAAGGATGCCCCCCGCAACTTGAGGAATATAGGATATTTCATTGTTCACTGTTGCCTGGATAAAAGGAAATCGTTCCAAATTTTCAAGGTAGATGGCAATTGTGGCCACAAGTTTCATTCCCCTTCAATATTTCAGTGTGCAGCCTGGATTGATTTATGATTCAGTGCTGAAAAAGTAGTGAATATGGAACTAAATCTGATTAGATTTGCGGACTGTGTCACTAATTTGAGTGTTCATGGTGGTCCCTGGTAACCCCTGACCCACATAACAACCCGAATAACTGGTTTGGTGAAATGATACCAAAAATACCAACCATGTATCCCACGGGGTACGGTGAGAAGCCCCGCCAGAGCGCCAACAAATATCCACCATCCACTCATGGTCGGAACCAAAAAGGGCATTAAATCCAAATCCAGTCAGGTGGGGAAACGCGCGATGTGTTGAGGTCTATCTCTCTAGCGCAAATGAAGGCAGTTCTCACTCTGCATTGCTGATGTCCCGATGTATGTGAAAACAACCTGGAAAAATCTTTAAGAGGAGCAGGAGCGGAGAGACTGAGCGCACTGGGTCCGACTCCTGAGCGCTGCGCTCCGGGCTGGAATGCGGCGCAGTCCCGAAACCAGGAGAAGTATCCACCACCTCGTGCCGTCTCACTGCTTTGGCAGACACCAGTTGGCGCACAACTCTGCCAAAAGAACACCAGGTGCAGGGTGGTTTGTCCTCTCCCCAACAGCAGAGGCAGGAGCCGGGACGCTTTTAAAAGCCGAGCCACATGACGACGAGAGACGGAGACGGTCGGACCTTCAGCGCTCCTGCAGCGAATGTTGCGCGGTGTTTGAAGTCACTTGTGCAGCGGTCTTCTTGTCCGCCCCGAACCCCCCACTCCCACTTTTCTTCTTCTTCTTCCTCCCCTTCTCTCTCTCTCCAGGAGGACGTCCCACCTCTCCTCTGCTGCACCCCCCCACCCCACCCCACTCCACCACCCACCTCGCAGATATCATAATCTCACATGATGGGGACTCCTTGGGGATTAAGGGAGAGAATTCGGATTTTGGAGAGCAAGTTTGTGACGAATGAATGTAAAATAATCAGAGGGATTTATCATTTTAATCCAATTTTACAGCTGGGAATCTGAGGTTTGCAAAAATAATAAATTCTTATTTTTTTCCCCACAGTGTCTCTGGAGTGCTGATATATAGTTTTAGGGAACTTTAGTGTGTCTGTGGTACTCAATACTCACTTTTTAAGTTTTTATGATGTGTTTATAGTGACCAAACGTACTTTATGGTGTTTGTATCCCCTGTTTATCATTTTTAATGCTACAGGGAGTTTATGGTGACTTTATCTCCTCATGATATTCTTATCATATTCCTACATATGTATCTGAATTCCTTAGTGAGTGTTTAACGTTAGGTGTCATATATTATTCAAAATTATTCAAATGGTGAGAACGTGGTTCCAAACCAGTGGGTTGGGACCCTCCAATACAAATAAGTGCTCACAAGATAATTACCAGGTTTTGAAAACTAAATTATTTGCATAAAATCGTTTTTTGTAACCTTGCACAATACTGGACAGTCTCATGTCTCCAGTAGGTGTTAAAACAATCTGAGAGGTGAAAATCCCTCTTTGGTTGAACTCCTCACAGCTCATTGACATATTCACCATATATTCACTTAGAAGGAGTTTGGAGAGTTTTTGTGGTGGCCTTACTCTCTTTTTTTGTTTCACTGTAAGCTTCCCAGATGAATTCCTTTTTCATTCAAGGTATCAGCATTACTGTATGTGTGGACGTTAGTTTTGGGGGAAATTGGTCATGAAGAGCGTTTGGACTTCAGTCAAATTTACAGCCGGAAATCTTAGTTTTGCAGACGGGGAACTACAGATTTGTTAAAAGTGACTTTAACATGCTCAAACATATTTTATCACACATTGCTTCATTACATTGTGTTATTAGAGCAATGATATCCATTTCTGCACTTGATATGTTATATTCTAAGGTATCACTTTAATAATCCTATAGGGACTCTGTATAGGGTTTGTTGTGGTCACCTGATGGTAGGTTTTATTTCATGAATCATCACTGCAAAACTCCCATTAAGCTTCTATTAGTAATAGTAACTGCAGAAGTTCAAACTCAATAGAAACATGTTTGGGAGAAACTGATGATATTGAACTGATAAAGGGCTTTAACAGTTAATTTATTAAACACACAACATTAAACATAAACATTTATTCTATATTTTTTATATTCATTGTTACTTTTGTCTTTTAAAATGTTTTAATATTGAGTTTATAGTAACTTACTTTATAGTTTTATCCTCTTTATATCATTATACACCCTTGGTGGCAGGTTATGGTTACTTTATCTTACTTAATATTATGTTTTCATAAAACAATATTCGGCATACATTTAATTGTGAGTTTAAGTATTCTTTACTTAGTGTAATGTTACTCAGGGGTGTCACTATAATAATCCTACAGGGACTTTGTAGAGCTTTTCCAGTGAACTTATTGTATATTAATAACATTGTGTTACAGTCTGATTTCTGGTGGACTTATTTTTCATCCTTTGTAGCTACAGGGTGTTTAATTCAGCTGATGTCTGTATATTATCCCTCTAAAGTAGTATTATAGGATGTCTGCAGCTCTGTCTGTGAGTGTAATGTTTAATCAGAGGGAGTGCAGGACTGAGATTCCTCAGTGTCACGTGGCAGTAACCTGATCTCCACTCAGCCCTTTTGTCCTCTGCCAAAAACAGAGATCAGAATAAGTTTTTCCTTTGAACAAGCTTTCTTTCTGCTTCTTCAATGGTGCTGTCTGAACCCTGCAACTATTTATAACCAGGACCCAGTGGAAGATTTAATAATTAAAAAAAAACAAAATAACAACTGACTTCCGGTCTGTGATTAACACAATTTAGAAAAAACGTAGAGACACACATCACACTAATAATACAAAGATAAATGACATCAATTAGGTATAAAGTTATTCATGTTGGATTCAAGAGCTCCGGCCAATCACTGAGATGGATCCTGTACCGTTTTCCTTTTATATCAATCATTGTGCTTTTTATTTGTGTGATTGAAAGTAATGTTGACCAAAATGATTACTATCAAATTATTTTTTGTGATAATGTGTTTCTCAAAGGCTAGGTAATCTTGAGGGAGATCGTGTGTGGGGAGGGAAGGGTAAATAAGGTGAAAGGGAGGAGAGGAAAAAGGAAGGCAAAAGTCTTACATTATTATAACCTTAGTGGTCATAGCACCAAATCTGTTCAGGAAAGGAACACTTTATATATTTGTTAACATTTCTAAATGTGCACATTTACATGTATATGGCCGCACTTGTTTATCATTATTATTTACTTTCCTTTATTTATTTACTTATTTATTTATTTATTTATTTATTGTACTTGAAATTAAGGTAACAGTGGCAAGCAAAATTTGGGCTGCAATTAACAACAAAACTGACTTAAAAATGACTCTAACATTTATTAAACAATTTTCTTTTGTCCACGCAGAGGTCAAAGGTCAAATATGTCAGGTATTATATATTATATATGGAATTATACACACACATACACACACACAACAAAACAAATAAATGTTATATTGTCCAAAATCAAAAATTTGCCTCAAAGGGCTTTTCAATACAGCCAGACATGTAAAAGACGTCATTACAATATTATGGACAGATTGCAAGCATAGAAGAATACAGGCCTATATGTGTTAAAACGGCAGCATAACTTTTTAAAGATCCTGCTTGTAAACAGGAAACTCATTAAAGTCAGTTTCACAATTTTTACTATTTCCATAATTTTCATTGCCTCTTTCAATAGTGTCTTTTCTCTCCTCTCCACTGCCAAATCCTATTACATTAGCTGCTGCAACAGCCTGATTTCCCCACAGGGTCCAATAAAAGTTCCAACTTATCTCCATCTTACACTGAATATCAACCTGCACAGCATCAGAGGATGGATGTGTAATTGGCTTCACTAATTCGACACACACACAGTTTGAAGAGACATCTCAACTCTCGCTGTGGTTTGGGACATCAAATATAATTTGTTACCTTCCCAAACACACACTGTATGTTGTTAGCAGCTTACACTAACTCCTGAAGTTGAGTGGAACCACAGTGAATACAGAAATAATGCTTTTGGGTTTTTAGTAAGAGCAAATATTGGCCTTATCAGGGTGGGGAGACATTTACAAGAGCATTAGGCTAATATAAACATGTGTTTTCACTTAAAGCTTAAATTCACCAGTTTAGCTTCAGGCTTCTAATTATAAGCCTGAATTATATTTGATGGTCCAATAAAGATACCATTCAATGCAGGAAAAACTGCTGGTGGAGCGTATCCTCAATGACTACAATTAATCAAATGTTTACTTAATTGTTGCATTTTGGGGGACTTAAGATTTCACACATGCTTCAGTTTTAATTGTGAAGAAATTGCCGGTGAAATCCCTTTTAGACCTAGGCTGCTAGGTCTAATCAACATTATCCAACTCCATCAATGGGTTTGTGCTGATGAGAACCTTTCAAGGCCATTCAGTCATTTTCAGATCTCATTTGTCTTCCTCAAATCCAACAAGCCTTCAAAATGTCAAAGGGAGGCACTGTGCACACTCACATACTGTAATCCAGTTATTCAGTGTTAGTTCCACATGCCTTTATGGATTACTGAGTAAAATATGTGGAGAGAAGAGAAAATCAAACGTTCTTTGGTGACAATTGTCATATTTCTGATGATTTTAGCTGCAACAGGTTGCAGGGAACCCTGAATCCAGTTTCAACAGGGGTCAGCAGCAAAGGCTGTGTCAATACTGCCTCCTGGTGTTTGGATGGCAGTACTACACCAATTGCTGTAGACATTAGTAGTAATTTTACATCAACGTGCATTTATCTGCTTACAGCAGCCTCTACTCTTCTGGTTTCAGGCTTTCCAACAGATTTTGGAACCTGACTGCAGATTTTTGCTCCCCCAGAGCATTAGGGAGGTCCAACACTGATTGAATGATAAGGTCGGGCTCACATTCGGCCTTCCGGTTCATTCCAAAGGTCAGGGTTGTTGCACATTTTCCATTTTAAAATTCCATACTTTTCCAGACTCACCAAATTCAAACCATATTTGACATCTGAATACAAATAGCTAGTTGTTTATGCAAATTAATTGCTTTTATATTGCCAAACACATGCCAGAGGATTGTAGCTAGTTAGGCTACTGTAGCCCGTGCTAATCAATTAATGTCAAACCACTGTGGCCTTTCAGTCCTCACTCCTACACAGAAAGTTGGACGTGTTCCACTGTCAAATATCACTGCACAAAGAGGATGTAGGAGAGATTGGGGATGGTTGGAACATTTTGGAAATTTCTGTCTCTATCTTTGAGCTCTTTTAAGACTTTAAGAAGTGCGTTCAAAATCTACTTCAAACTAGTTATATGTGTCTGATGTGTCTCTGCAACAGACAGAAAATGCATGGTTTAGTTTCAAAGACAAGGAGTAAAATGTTACAATTCACCCCATAGTCTGGGTTAGCCATAACATACCCTTGGGTAAAATGTAACATGTAATAAGGAATATGAGAAAAACTTGATATTGAAAGGTTTCTATTTACTTAAAATCACAAAATTGGTGTGCCTTGTGTGTGTGTAGAGGTGATCCAAGTAGCTTATTTACTGTCAGTCATAGTAGTGAACATGATGTGCAAATCTTAGGAACATAATATGCGCAAATGCGGGGAACCAGTTAGCTTACTGCTAGTGCATGCACCCAATGTTCAAGTCTAGACTGTGTTCAAGTCCCGTGGCACCTCGCCGCATGTCAGCCGCTCTCCCCCCCCCCAATTCTTTTCAATATTTGAATAAAGGATGAAAAACACATTTGAACATAATAACTCAACAAAACATTACTGTGTGTGTGTGTGTGTGTGTGTGTGTCACATACAGACATTCAAAGAAAACATAAATGCAGCTAACCCAGACTCTTGGACCATTTATCTTACAGCTAAAACATTAGAACTTGCGTGAAAAACACGCACAATAAACGCAATGAAAAAGTTTGATGAGTTTAACCACATAACAGGCAATAATGTAAAAAAAACACTTTACCTCAAAATTATGCATTTCCTTCTAAAAATTGGCTGTGGCTTCCACAGGGTACCACTTTTCCCCCTGTGGAAAAAGGGCTAAACTGAGCATGTGCAGAGCGAATCAGGGGGTTTGTAACGTGTTCCTGATTGGTGAAATTACAAGTGTTATAACTGATCCCCTCAATATAATGAATAAATAATTTTGTATTGTAATTTTCACTGCCTCTGCGCAGCCTTGTTTACTTATTGGGACATTGAACGCAGCCATAATGTATGGTTTATGCAGAAAAGAGTCTGTTTACTTTTATGATGACTACATGATTCAGAAATGTTCAAACAAGCTTAATATTTGGTTATTTTGATGCTATGAGTAAATGCAATTGAAAGAATTTTATATTTTAGACAAAGGGGGGGAATAGTCTGCAAACAAATATTTTGATACTCTATATTTGATATTCTTTTTATTTATATATATATAAATTACTAACACCAAATTACATACTTTTCTATACTGCAAACTCTGAAAGGTGTTGGATGGGACTGAGGTCAGGCCTCAGTGTAGGCCAGTCAAGTTCTTCCGCAACACACTGGGGAAACAATTTATTTATGGAGCTGGCTTTGAGCATGGGGGCAACACGCAACACAATTGTCTGAAATATTATTTTACGATGTAGCAATAACATTTATCTTCATTGGAACTGAAAAGCCAAAACCTCTTAAATAAACACTTTGAATACATTTTAGCTGGATTTTAAACACTTTTACAAGTATTACTTCAGGTAACATCCTAAAACCTTTTATGGACCTCTAGATGTCCTGTAAAACAATAAAAGTATCAACTGATTTATGGGCTGTAGTGGGTGATTATTTATAAAAGTCACTTTTCTCTCCAGGTCACCTTCTATGTGTTGTCCTCATTTTACTCTCCTGGGATCTTTTTAAAAGAATAGCTACTTGTACCCACGAGCCAAAGTCAGAACAAATACTTTATTCAATACAGTGAATATTTACAATCTGAGACAGACAGGTCAGTCCTTCTCCTCTGCTGGTTTTGGTAAAAAGTCTTCACTCTTGAACCACAGAGCTTCACTGGTGTGACTGGCGATGATAGCCCGCTTGATGAAAGGTCCTGAGGGGAGGAAGACGAGGAGAGAAAAGGTTTAAAGCGAGTCATCATTAAGAGCTTGTTTTAATGTGTTGAAAAAGTGACGTGTGAAGTCAAAAGCAGGAAATGTGAGAAGACATTGAAGGTGGTCATTTTATCCTCTGTTTTTGTTTTTAATATTTTTGTAAAGCACTTTGTGACTTCTGTGAATAAAAGCACTATTCAAACAAAGTTTATTTACATTTCAGTCAATTCTACCAGTCTCTACTAATCACATCTGCAGAATAAATCACTTTTCAATAAAGAACCCACCAACTAATTCACAAAAAAAAAAATTCACTTGGATGTTTTGATGCTAGAAGACCGTTCTCACAAGTGATGTGAAAACCTGAAGCCTCTGGAGCACATAAACTGAGAATAGGCTCTACAGCGGTAGAATTAATTTGAAAAAAATAATAATTTAATTTGTCTGTAAAAAAATAAAAAAATAAATAGCAATACCACACAATTTATTATTAACCTCCATCATGTGAAGTGAACATGACTGACTGAACAATACCTAACTTCTAATACTAGACCTGATAAACTTTTCTACACCTGACATGGAGCAGTTTTATACAAGAACAAGACAATATATGTTGCGGGAAGTTATTTAGAACTTAAAACAGCCAGAGTCTCCCTGGATAACAGCTGAAAACAAAAAAGGAAGCTTGAAAATGTTTATGTTTGTGGGAGATTATGCTAACAGCTGCCTTCAATCTCTCTCACACATCCTCTGTCTCGCTTTTATTTGAAAACATGCATGAATTCCCTGCAGTCTTTTATTTCTCTCATGAATTTACTTTTAACTTACTTATGAATAGTTATTTCAGCATTATTTTCTGCAGTAAGGTCTTTATTAATCAGCATATGGTTGTGCTTTTGTCATGAATAATTTCTGTAAGCCCCTTGGGGTTTTTCTTTCCCCCACCCACTGGTTGCATTTCCGCATTCTTTTCTGAGTTTTAAGCATTTATCTGTGAAGTTTCTTCTTGTTTCTGCCCACGCAGTGGCCATAAGCTTCGGTCCAAATGACTCTTTAAAAGACATGAAGGGAAAAAGCTTGAGCTACTGATGCGGCTAATTCAAGTTAACTATAAGTATATTCACATCTTCTGATCCTTGACTTCTGGGTGCAGAGGAAATTAAATTCTGCCCAGAGTCCTTGTGCGCCTCTTGTAAGAGAGTTGAACTGCTGCATAATGTTTGCTGGCATAAACTCAAAGACTCTTTGCTGACAGAGTTCAGAAAAGCCCAGGTGGCTCGGCCCGACGCACCGCCTTCATCGCCGAAAGCTGCTCGGTGATGAAAATTACAGAGTTGGAATGAGGCACTGAGAAAGTTGTTTCCGCTCCGCTACTGTAGCACTGAGGATGCTTTCTGTAGCCGGGCGGGTTCAGCAGAGCATTAACACTTCCAGGGTTAGTCCCACAGTGATCATTCAGGACAAAACTGCACAAAAGGTTTATAGTGAGCACTTTAAATAAAAACATCTGCTGCGGGTGCAGTCACAGACCTGCTGCTGGTTCCCTTTGCTCTAAAGCAAAGTGAAAAAGTTCAGACATCTGTCTAGGAAGTTCTTTTTGGTTCTGCTGATTTGTTTGTTTGATAATCAGCATGACATCTCAAACAATTTTTTTTTAATGAAAGTTGGTGGACTTTAGGCCATAGGTCAAGAAAGAGGCGATTGGTTTTTGACTCATTTCTGAAGGGTTTTTAACCTTGGGAGGTTTTGGAACTTAAATAATAAAAAAATAATAAATAAATAAATAAATATAAAAAATTCTCTATTGCATCTGTTATCAATATAAAAACAACCGGAGAATGTTCAGCCTTGGTGGAGCTTCACGCTCTCCAAGTGCTTTCTAATTTTATGATTTTGATTTATATTTAGGCTCATAAAATCCCAGGGTACACAGAAAAAAAATTGTGATTTGCAAGCAGATCTTTTATCGGGCAGAAGAATACATATAGATAAGATTATCACCATGAATGTATCGATGTCTGTGAAGGTTCTCATGTCATCCAGGTCATAGTAATCCAAAGAAGGGTAAAATCAAGGGCAACAGGACATGTTTGAAGGTACTGGAAGACATTTCGTCCCTCATCCAAGAGACTTCAGTTCTGAACTGCATGGATTGGATGAGGTACAAAACGTCTTTTAGTACCTTCAAACATGTCCTGTTGCCCTTGATTTTAACCTTCTTTTGATATGAATGTGTTCATGTTTTTTGCTGTTTGTGCTGCATTTCACATTAAAGCCTAAAAAATGTCTGTTTTCACAGGCGCCAGGAGGATACAATGTACCACATACAGTGTTAGTATGCTTTCACACACAAGGTTCAGTTTAAATCTGACAGCCATTTGGATAAAAATTTGGCGATATGAATATCCAAACATGAGTGATCATATGATCGTGATGCAAGCAACTGTACTGACGTCAACCTGTACGAGGAGACTTAATACAAAGTGTGGATGGATGTGTATGGTTGGAACATAATCTGTACCTCTACATGAAGAGAAAGTGTGCATGTTATGACAAAGTTATTAGTGACACTCATACAATGTTCAAGCCTTGATGGAATTTGTTTTCCTACGACAATTGCTGTTGGAAACATTGGCACTTAACTGTAACAACTTAGCGACCCTTAGAAGAAGTCTTGCCCCATTCAGCCATGAGCACGTGGTTCTGCCCACCCATACAGTACATAGGTCTACACAATTTTCCTGCGTACAGCAAAATGGGCACCAATTTTGTTGAAACAAAGTTACACGCCACTTCACTTTGTTGATGAGGAGCATTCAAGTGAAACCCACAACAAAACAGCAGTAAACACTCACAAATGAACTCCGTGTGTAAACAGCCTTCAACAGTCTATGTAAAACGCAATGAAAGATGGCTGTAAAACTAATAAGAAAACCAATTAGTGGTCAGTCGTCTGCTGAAGAGACAAATGCCTGAGTGGCAATATGGGCCTCAAGAGAGAAATCCAAGATAAATGGGAAAGTAAAGAGTTCTTGATATGATAAGTTCCAGGGCACAAAGGGCCACTGGTTTTAAAGCGTCCGCAATCAGTGTTTCTGAAAGCTCTGCAGTTTACTTCAGTGGGGGAACTGTTAATGACATTTTATTTAGCAAGCTCAGAATCTATTAGATTTTAGATCATTTAAGCCTCTCCCTCTAACGAGGGTCCATTAGCTGATGATTATGCTCTGCATCTTATTATTGTATGCAAAGTGAAGCAAATGTACAGAAGATCAGAATTAACTCAAACACACTGAACAGCCAGAATTTCTTACTTCGACTCCGGGGTAATTTTCATTCAGTGTTTAAAGGGCCGTACCGATGTTTTAAAAAGGTTTTAGTTTTTCTTGACTACAAACCATGTATCATTTTTCTTATCATCTTTAAATGCAAGCAATACAGTTCCAGATAGTTCCATTTATTTGTCCCACCACTGCAGGCAGCTATTACCTTTCCATTCATTGTGTACATTATGAAAATCAATTAGCAGACTCCTGTTGTGTGATCCATCACGGGGATCATAAAGTTTGCATTATTTTTGCCAGTGTTACATTAGTGATGTGTGGTAGTGCAATCTAAATGCAGATTGATTTGAAACATCATGGCAATAACGTTATTCTGACACAAACAAATGTAGTTTATGTTCACTGATGAATGTGTTCAGAAATGAATGGAAACCAAAGCAGTGGATGCCTGGAACAGTCAACAAAGAGATAATTTAATAAATGGGATAAAACATGTTCCCTTAAATGCATCAATCCACGTGTTTTTAAAAAACATTGTGGGTAAAAGTTCCAGACCTGGAACCTGCAAGTTAACTTGAATGGTTGTAAAGTTTATAGTAATTTATTGTGCAAGTCAGTCAAACCAGCAAAGTTAGTTAGTCGGGCTAAATTCTCCACCTCTGGATCCACATGAAGCACAGCTAGCTATGAGTTCCACCCACCAGTTTGCTCTAATGTATAAATACAGTCTAGTAACTACAGGAAAGGGCTACAAATATGAGGTAAAAAAAACAAACAAGAAAGTTAAAAACACAATACGCCTGGAAAAAAGGTTGCTGTAGTCTCTACTAGTATACAAACTACAGAGCTGTAAACTGAACCAGGGAGGGAGATCAAACCTAGCCAGCAGATAAAAGTTGACACATTTTGAAAAAGTTCTTTCCAACTACCATTTTACTAATAAAAAAAAAAAAAAATCAAATCAACTATGTGCCATCATATCCTGAAGAGTTGTGAAAACAGTTGGATAGAGTTTGTCAGCTGCTGCTGACAGAAGAGCAGCTGTCAAATCATTTTAAGTCAGTGCTTGAACTAGTGTGTTGTGATGATTGGCTGGTTTTGATGAACATACCCGTACTGGCTGGTCGGTGGGAGCAAACATCAGCCAGGATAGTTTGCAGGTTGGCAAAGATGTGTTCTTTGGGCATGTCGAGCTGTGCAGGGAAGAGAAAATAGGATGAGATAAAATCTTACTACTGTAACTACACAAAATGTATTTTATACAATATTTCGTTTTTCTCTTTCTATTGTTGAAATGTTTGTCTCAGAGCTACATTTTCTGTTTCTGTAATCTCCTGTTTTTTTCCCCATTTTTACAACACAAAACAACGATGTGCTGCCTCCAAATGGAACTTGTGAGGTTGTATTTTCATCATTTTCAGCCATTTAAAAAGGACTTTATGATCTTTGGCAATTCAAAATGTAGCCAGGTGGAAGCTGTAGAAGCACACACACGGGGACACAACAAGATGCCAACGCTGATTTTCATGCCTAAATACACCCCATTTCCCACAGTCTTCCACAGGGAGCACAGATTTTATTTTCCAGTTTCCTGTTAGGAATACAAACTTTTTTTAATCAGGATTTAATTCTTAACTTTGACCACTTTAACTTGCAGCATTTAAAATGTAAAATGGTCTCTTCCCTGGACATTGAAGGCCTCCTCTTGTTGAAAGAGAGATTCACACCTTCACATAGCTTTTCTCAGATATCACTATCAGCTGTAATAATCCCACTCAGTGCTAGGCTCTGCACCCATTTGTTGAGACGTACCATGGCTATCTGGGTCCTGACGTAGCAGTCGCTCTCCACCATGTACTCATGACCGGTTTTAAACAACTCCAACATCTTGGGAATGTGGATGCCGACTGAGCCTGTGAGACAGGGAAAAGAAGTGATCAGCACTGATAGCCTTGAGTAAGTTTACACTCTAGATATTTAACCTAGTTCAGTTAACCTTGCAAGTTAAGTTTTAATTTGGCAAGACACACTAAGGTGACATTCTGTTTTGACCCTCAGCTTACCTCTCTTGCTCTTAGGAAACTTCTTCCTCAATTTGTTTTTCAGCGGCACGAGCTTCGGCAGGATATCTGGCACTGCTACATAGAAGTCTGCTGAAATCTCGTCATCTAAGATCTGGAAATGAATAAAATCTGGTTAAACTTTAAAGACTCCTGCGGGGAGACATGACATTTAGATACAAATACAGACAGAGAGCCTGAACTGCACACAATGAATGGACAGACAGATTGAAGCTGATGCGTGTGCACATTATCAGGTGTGCACCATGGGTAACTAATTTATTTGTCTTTCCTGTTTGATTTTCTGAAAAAAAATTCCGATCCTGTTCTGCAGCCAAAAAACAAAGGATGGGAACATGGCAGCTATCTGGCTTCTTTGTACCTATTTTAGTTGCCAAATCTTCATTAAGGCAGAAACACAAATTGTGTAGCAGCCTTTGTAAATGTGATCTACAGTAGGTGCTGCCATAAATGCAGGTGAACCATTAGCTGAAGGTGACTCAAAGACAAAGAAATTTCAATCAATAACAATATAAACTAATAATATACAATAAATATTCAATAAATGTTTGATTTTATTCACTTGAATCATAAAGGAATTATGACTTAATTGTTTATTAAGATGGTTATTTTGTTGAGGAAAAAGGACTGAAAAAAAATCTTTTACTTAATTTTACTCATGCATGTGTGTTGAAAAAGATTTTATCATAATTGTTTTGAATGTTCTACCTCAGATTTGTGAAGTGATCCACTGTTTGGCATCAAGTGTTGACCATAAAGACGAGTTTAAACCACAATTAACCATTACCATTAACCAATTATCGATATCAAAAGATATGAAACTTTTTATCGTGATAACATTTTTGGCCATATCGTCCAGCCCTAATTTAACAACAAAAGAAACTTATAGCCTTAAAAATTGACATCAAGTTGAAATATGTTTAGATATTAAACCGTCTAAGCAAAAACAAAATACTATCAGCATCAACAAATTAGTTTATTGCAGCTACTGTGACGCAACATGTTTCTATTATTGTGTCCACAGATTTTATATTTTCACATTTTTTAAGTTGTCTTTTCGTGCTTGGTGTTTTTTGTTTCACTGTTGCGTGACCAGTGTTGGGCAGTAACGCGTTACTGTAATATTATTACTTTTCCCAGTATCTAGCAGTGTAACTAATAAGTTAACTAATCAGTAAGGCTGCGTTACTGCATTACCGAACACACCATCCTTGACGTGAATGCACGTTCATGCAGCAGCTATGCTGCACCGGACTTTGTTGTTCATGTCAGCTGTTAAAGGAAGAAAGGAGAACGAGGCGTTCTTTCCACAGCTGTGAGTAGTTACTGCCATTACTGTGTCACAGTCTAAGATGCAAAGAACATTGTTGTCTATTTTAAACTGTGCAACCTGCAAAAAGCTTTCAATCGCAAACAATTCTACATTTAATTTATTGAAGCATCTTCTGAAGCAGCACAAAAATGTGAAACTTACAGAATGAAACTCCGGCAGCTACTGCAACTGATGCTTGGACTCGACGGGAGAGTGTGGCGTTAACGTAACGTTTTGTAAAAGTACTGAATACTGCTCATATAAATAGGCTACATGTGCAGAAAAACAGTAGTTCAATAGTTGGGATACCTAGTTTATTTGTTTTTATTTCAGCCGGAGGTGTAAAGAAATGTGGGGGTGTGGTAGTGAGAGCAGCGTTTCCCATAATTATAAACGTCACCAGATAATGGATAGTCTTTTTTTTTTTTTTTTTTTTTTTTTCTTACTAGGCATATTTAAAATAGCATTTGATTGAGGAGCCGTATTGAGGTGCATATATTCGTGCAGCAACTCCTCTCTCTCTCTCTCTCATGACTGCATTCTGTGGGAAACACTGGAAAGTAACAGTAGTAACGTAACATAATGAGTAATGTATCTACTTACTTTTATCACACAGTATTAAGTAATATTATTACTTTTTTAAAGGAATATATTACAAATTCTGTGTAACACTTGCCCAACACTGTGCGTGAATAATTGTTCTTGAGGTAAAAATAAAGTCCTTAACATACACACTGCCCCAGAAATCGCCACCATGAAGCCTTACATGGTCTATACCGACCAAGCAACAAAAGCAGCAGCTGCAGTCACTCTGTCAGTGTCAACTAGCCAGTCCGGTGTAGACAAGGTTTAAGTCAAAGCATTACAACCTTAACTGCACAGCTCAGACGTTTCAGTATGTTTACCTGTGTGAATGTGAAACACAATAGCAAGTGTTTGCATTTAAAATTAAACAAACTGATGGTCTATTCTCTACTGTTTGAAAAGTCTTCAAATGTAAACTCAGCAAAAAAAGAAACGTCCCTTTTTCAGGACTGTGTATTTCAACAATAATGTTATAAAAATCCAAACAACTTTACAGATCTTCATTGTAAAGGGTTTAAACAATGTTTTCCATGCATGTTCAATTTACCATAATCAATTAATTAACATGCACCTGTGGAATGGTCATTAAGACCTTAACAGCTTACAGAGAGTAGGCACTTAAGGTCACAGTTCTAAAAACGCAGGACACTAAAGAGACTTGTCTACCGACTGTGAAAAACACCCAAAGAAAGATGCCCAGGGTCCCTGCTCATCTGCGTGAATGTGCATTAGGCATGCTGCAGGGAAGCATGAGGACTGCTGATGTGGCCAGGGCAATAAATTGCCATGTCCACACTGTGAGACGCCTACGACAGCGCTACAGGGAGACAGGAAGGACAGCTGATCATCCTCGCAGTGGAAGACCACGTGTAACAACACCTGCACAGGATCGGTATATCCGAATATCACACCTGCGTGACAGGTACAGGATGGCCACAACAACTGCCCGAGTCACACCAGGAACACACAATCCCTCCATCAGTGCTCAGACTGTCCGCAATAGGCTGAGAGAGGCTGGACTGAGGGCTTGTAGGCCTGTTGTAAGGCAGGTCCTTACCAGACATCACCAGCACCAACGCCGCCTATGGGCACAAACCCACCTTCGCTGGACCAGACAGGAATGGCAAAAAGTGCTCTTCACTGATGAGTCACGGTTTTGTCTCACCAGGGGTGATGGACGGATTCGTGTTTATCGTCGAAGGAATGAGCGTTACACCGAGGCCTGTACTCTGGAGCGGGATCGATTTGGAGGTGGGGGGTCCGTCATGGTCTGGGGCGGTATATCACATCACCATCGGACTGAGCTTGTTGTCATTGCAGGCAATCTCAATGCCTTGCGGTACAGGGAAGACATCCTCCTCCCTCATGTGGTACCCTTTATGCATGCTCATCCGGAGATGATCCTCCAGCAGGACAATGCCACCAGCCATACTGCTCGTTCTGTGCGTGAGTTTCTGCATGACAGCAATGTCAGTGTTCTGCCATGGCCAGCGAAGAGCCCGGATCTCAATCCCATTGAGCACGTCTGGGACCTGTTGGATCGCAGGGTGAGGGCTAGGGCCATTCCCCCCAGAAATGTCCAGGAACTTGCAAGTGCCTTGGTGGAAGAGTGGGGTAACATCTCACAGCAAGAACTGACAAATCTGGTCCAGTCCATGAGGAGGAGATGCACTGCAGTACTTCAAGCAGCTGGTGGCCACACCAGATACTGACTGGCACTTTTGATTTTGAGCCTCCCTTCATTCAGGGACAGATTATTCTCTTTCTGTTAGTCACATGTCTGTGAAACATTTTTCGTTTATGTCTTATGGTGTTGACTCTTTTAGTGTTCATACAAATATTTACACACATTAAGTTTACTGAAAGAAAAAACAGTTGAAAGTCAGAGGACGTTTCTTTTTTTGCTGAGTTTATAATAGAAAACCTTTAATGCTTGATTTTGTTCATTTTTAACTCAGATTGGAGTTGTTGATTTGGAAAACATCTTTTGTAACAAGCTAATACGTCGCTAGTATTCCACAGAGGTTGTTTAACCAACTCACCGGCTGTATGAGCTCTGTTCCTCCAGCAAACACAGCTCCGTTCTCCTGGGCAACTTTAGCTTGATTAGCATCCTTCAGAGAAAACAAAGGCAACGTTACCCATTTAAATCTGATTTGGGTGTGGCAAAGTCTGGCAGACCCCACCAGTGTCAGTCATTACGGTCATTAACATGCGCATCCAAGTTACAACCCACAACCTGTGCTGCTCGACAGGAATATTAATCAAATCCCACTTGTGGGTTTCTGTGATCTAAGCAGTCGCTACAGGAGACCATTCTACGGAAGCCCTAAGCAGCCATCGATTCATATCTTTATTTTACTCCGTTTTCCCGTGATAACGAGATAATTATCTTGTGATCTCGAGATAACAAAACAGTCCAGCAGGTTACTGTAAACAGCAGTTTAACGCAGGGGTTGGCAAGAATGTTTCTTAATGGTAATTTCAAGGTGGTTTTAGTGTCACTGATTAGCTCAGTGGGTAAGGTACACGACTCAGTCTTAAGATTGTGAGTTCAATCCTCATTGAAGACCAACTTAAAAAAAAAAAAAAAAACTTTCATATTCCTCTTCAACAAAGTTGTTATGAAGATGACTGATTCACATGCTCTCAATCACGTGCTGGAGTGTGCGCATCCCGGCGATTGGTCCACATTCATCAACCTATGGACTTCATTCACCCATCATTCAGGGGAATCCATTTAACTACACATTTCCGGGCGGGAAATGATTGGATTCCCCTGAATCTCTTGATAAGAACTTTGTTGAAGAGAATGATTAAAAAACAAACACAAAAGAAGAATAAAAAAACTTTGCAGAGATGGTTGCAAGTCCTACACTCTACCAAGTGAGCTAAATGCTGACTCAGCAAACTGACACATAATTATCGTAAAGAAACGCACCTGCCGATACCTGTATTCAGCTATGGTTTGTTATTTCGAGATCATGAAATAATTATCCCGTTATCACGAGAAAACGGAGTAAAATAAAAATATGAATCGATGGCCGCCTTAGGGCTTCCGTACCATTCATTACGAACGTGACAAATTAAAAAGGTTCTGCTGCTACACATCTGAATCATGTTCCAACAATATTAAAGCAATTCATCAACAGGAGGCAATCAATTGCCTATTAAATTAAGATTCAGTGAGGCTGAAAGGGAAGATTTTAAAAAATGAATTAAAGTTGTTTTTTTTACCTCAGTAAAAACTAAAACTTTGTTCATCTGTGTCTTGAAGGGGTGCGGTAAGTGCACCGTGCTGACGAAGGGATCCACTTTTTTCTGTGAGGAGAAAAAAATAAAATGATTAAATTACTCTCGTTATCTACACTGACTATGCTCCAGCAAATAAAGGATTTGGGAGAAAACACTATATAAAAAGAGGGATGTCAATCATACACCAGGCTTAGATAATCTATTATTAAATCTATTCCACCACCACTTTCCACTGGAGTGTTCTTAATTTATTATGCATAGGAACATTGGTTCTGCTTAGTTCTGTGGAGACAGACGGATGAGAGTAAGACTAAGTAGTAAGTAAGTCTATCTCATGTGGACTGTCTGGACACCAAAGCAGCTCTGTAGTCTTGTAATGAAGAAACTCACTCATTAGGTTTTCAGTCCCTTGTGTTACACTGTTGTTGCCGATTAACCAAAACTGCTCATGTTGCAAAGACGGATGCTAAATATCACTCAGATTTGTGGAGGTGAGGCGTAACAGCGGGGGGAAAAAACTAAATAAAAACAAGTGTGCCAAGTCTGACTGCTATAATATATATAAATAATACAAAAAGTGTTTAACAGACACATTGGCAGGTGATCAACCGTTACAGGGATGTCCTGTTCTACTCTGAGGATCCAGCTAGATGGTTAAAAAAAAAAAGCAGCCAGTCAATTCTGGGATGCAGCAGTGATTAAAAACGTTGAAGTTGAATCCAAATGTTCAGATGCAAAATTCATAGCAATACAGACGTGACAATTGAGCTATACAGCCCAAATGTTCCATAGTAATTTGAAGAGCTCTTTTGTTATTTTTAATGTGGGTGTATTTGGGTTTGATTTTTCAATCTTGGCCTTATAATCTGGATTTACTTATATTAAAATTATAGCCTGACCTGACAGGTGTTTCTATTATTTTGTCCACCCCATTTATATCAATGAGGGTAGGTTAAATAACAGAAACACCTCTCTGTACAATGTAATACAGTTCAACAGCACTACAACTTACATCCTCCAAAGTGACCATACAGAATAAAGACATCTCTAAAACAGTTTTAACACAAACTGAAAATTTTCACCTTCAGGAAGGAGGATTTACTGCAGGACTGTTGTATTAGACTGCATTCGTTTTAGCTAGCTGTGAATAAATAATAACTGAGTGCATATGAGCCTTGGCAATTTATCAGTCACACTCTAGTTTTTATCTGCATTTAGACAGGCAGATGTTCACAAAATTGCATCCTACTAAGAAGAAAATCTACCCACGTGCAAGTGCGAGGATCCTCAACTAAGGATTTGATGCGAGAATCATATTAGCAGCAAAAATGCTCAGCTATAGAAAGCTCTAAGTTGAATGATATTTTGTTTCCTCCCTATTCGTTCCATGTTCCAGTGTGGCAGCTCATAACAGGAAATACTTTTGATTTGTGACGTGGTTGGACAACACGTATTAAGAACCACTTCTTTTCTAGAGAAGAACACAGCTGCGGTGATGTTACCTTTTTCTCCAGTTTCATGTTTAGCCTCAGATCGATGTAAACTGGCTGCTTGTGGGGAGTGAAATCCAACGCCTGAAACTTCTTCAGCATGTCAATGGCATCTGCTGCGTCATAGATCGTCCTGGGGTAGTACCTCATAATGTACACGTCATCCACAGGCGCCCACGCCGTCTTGCCATAAGGCTTATGTCTGTCTTTGTCATCGATGACTCTCTTTTGTATCTTCTCCTCCTTACCTGTGTCCTCTTTCTTGTCTTTCTTTAGTGGCCTGACAAACAATAAGTGAGATGTTAAACTGAGAAATATTTGGGTCATCGATCTCGATAGTCTTTATGGTTCACATGAACAAATTGGTTCTAGTAGGCAACTGTTGGGATGGTGAAGCAAAATGATGTTGGCAAACAGCTCTAAAAAGTCAGAAAGTCCTCTGTTAATGAGGATCTTTAACGCTGGTTTTCCTAAGGTTTGTAAACTCACCTAACAGCCGCGAAAGTCCTGGCAGGTAGATTCCTCGGTGCAGTCTGTGAGACGCCTTTGTAGGCGGGGCTGCCGGCTCTCAGCAGCTGCCTCTGGCATCCTGCTAAAACTGGAAAAGGGAAAAAAGCTGCATAACAAACAAAAACAGACACGGGGTACAGCTGATGACTGCCATTTAACTCAGACAGATACCGTTCTCTCTTTGTGTGACACAACATGAACCAGAGTTTGAAAATGTTTTCTGACATTATAAAATACCTTTTCATTTAGCATTTTGCATAAACCGAGTAGTTTATGCGCTCTGCAAAGTGTATGCATCAGTGCTTATCTCTGGCAAAGTGAAGCAGACCGCATGTTATTTGCATGAAACTGGAATAATTTGCTAACTGCTTGTGGAGGAAAAACTGTCAGTGTCAATATTATTTTATCAAGGTGACAGCGAGCTCATGCAAATGTAAAGCTTGTGTGAACTTTCCCCCTGTATTAAAGGCTCTGTTTTACCATCAAAAGCACACCAAATATCATTATCATTCTCGTATAGTCTGTAGTCGTGTAGTCTGTAATAGAAGTGTTGTGGTTAGGCCCGGGCAGGCAAAGTGTGCAAAGTTTAACTGATTTGAAGATACAGCTCTCTCTGTTACTGCTCTGTGGTCCTTCACCTTATGTGTTCAACAGTATACAGTCCCTTACACCGTTTGGGGGTTTTTTGCACGAAATTGCGTTCAGAAATCTTTCAGTTAAACATGCCTTTTCTTATAAGCATAGACAGGAGCACAAATGTTAATTGAATCATTTACGTTAACTCAGCTGATTCGGCATACATATGATCCACAAAGCAACATATTCATTTACCTTAATTAAGACTTTTTGAACTCGTTAGCACTTCTCATCGCTAACGTTACCCACCAAGATGTGTTTTGGTTCAAGGACGCTCAGCAAAGAGCGAAAATAATTCCGTAATTAAAACCTTCCTTGTTAATTACATTATAGCCGAATTAAACGGAGAATCTCAATAATGCAGACACACTCTTAAATAATGCTGCTCCATCTGTGGAGTTAATCAATACGCAAGTGGACATTAAAATTACACATATTTGCTATGTGGTTTGCTGTATGTATTTGAGGGCTAGCGAGCAGAACCGCAGGCAAACTAACAAGCCTCTTTAACCGAAACAAGAAACCAAACAGGAAGACGGTGAGAATTAGCATGTATTTCTCTTAACAAACACATCGCCTGCTTTTTGACTGCCAGTTAGAAGAAAGGAAATTATAATAAACAACTGACCTTTCCACACACTCCGCGTGCAAGTTGCCATATCTGGGAATACCTCCGGTCCGTCAGAAAACAACGAGCCACACTGAACAGTTCCACATGGCAAATGAAACCCTGCAACCTATAAATTACCTAACCTATTAGTAAATACTTAAACGCACATTGAATACTACTTAAATATAGGATTGTTAATCACGTGTTTGATATACTACCAATCTTCCCCTGTTTTATTACTAAAATTTGATTGAACAAGAAAATGTCGTTGCTGGAATAACGGCATGCCGAATTTTCAAGAGGCTTATAAATATTTAAATTAAACATGAACTGATACTCTGCACTCTATGTAGCTCTCTATATTATACTAAACTGCGATTTAATTGTAGTTTGTTAAAAAACCGCTTTATTCACAATATGATTCATAGTATAGTAAACTACGGCTTTTTTGAACAGCGTCTTGTGTTTTATTTCATTTTTAATGTTAAAAGTCGGTTTAGAAACATTTTCCCGTGACTTGATGACAGAAAAACTACGGGGGTGCCTGCTGTGTGCGGACGGATACGAGCGGAAGCCGCGTTTGTTGTTCTTCCTTCTGTTTCCGAGACGTTCAGGGTCTAAACGGGTTCAACAGCCGTGTCTGCATGTCTCTACCAATTCCCTCTATAAATCGTCTTCTACTGCCCCCGAATGAAGGTAATGTCAATGCCGACTTTGCTCTTATGCTGCGGACACCCTGTCTAGGCTGTCTCGGGTTAAATCGTAAGCTAAATCCGCTTCCATATGCACAAACTCCGTCTCCCCGGCAGTCCGCCTCGGTGAGCCCGGGCGGCGTGCGCCCTGCAGCCGCTAGCCAAACAAATCCAGCGCCGTGCTTCAAGCTCGCCGGGCGGTTCACATGTCCATGCTCCATTTCGACGATATTTTAATAGTTTTGACATTTTGAAATGCAGAAGTAGACGCATCCAGAGGGCGTGTTTACCTCGTCGTCAGGTGTGACAGCTGGGGAGCGGTGGGCCGAACTTCTCCTGAACGGGCCCGTCTGTGTAACGTTACGTGCTTGTCACTTTTGACATTAAAGCTATGTTTGGATACGCGCCTCTCAGCTGTTTGCGGAGTTGCCATCGCCACATTGTTTCCATTTACAAAAACTCCCGCCTTGTTAAAATAATAACTCCACAGTTTCCAAAGCAACAGATTCAGGGATTACTGTAATATTTAGGTTATCTGTGACAACCACAGGAGAAATGTTGACATCATCTCAGGCATGTGATGAAAGTCTCCGCTGCAACTTTCGTTTCGTGCCTTTCTCCATATGGTTATGATATGAACCAATGCCAGCAGGCCGTGTATCTGTCTGCAACCGCTGTTGCCGCTTACTTGTGACCCAGTCGCTTGTAAACAGGTTATGTAAGTCTTATCCAAACTTGTTCACCCCCAGCTAACCTCGTGGCGGCTGGAAGCATAATATCATGCACTCAGCTCCCCTTTTGCACACTTCTTTAGCTCATATGATGCATGGTGTTCAGAAGTTAGTGGATAATAACAGGTCATGCAATAATACACCTGTACTATATGTGTCCCTGAGGCATGCATGTTTAGCTGACCTGTATGGGCAGCAGACTGACAGCAGGGGAGTTTTAATAACCTGCCCGCTCCTGCTGCAAGCTGGGTGCTTTCTGAGAAGACTTCCTGCAGCCTCTAAAGGACAGCATTGCATGGTTGCTAATGGGATGTTCACCACATATGAAATTCTTATATCTCTGACTGAGTAACTTTTTTTCCCCGCATGTGCATACTGCTTTCAAGCATTACTCATGGTGTTCTGAGGAAAATTTAGTAAAGCTGATAAGATAACCAAAGGCATTTATTTTTCATTGTATGCAGCAAGAACACTCAGGACACCTTGTCACTTAACATGAACTTTTAAGCCTTTTAATTGATTGCGTTAATCGAACTCTAAGGTGGTAGCTTGTCTTATATCATAACATAGATATTATACAAATTTATCTCACTTTAGCAGTATATGTTTCTTTTTGAATACATTCATTATGTTTAGGCTACACAAAGTGTGTTAATAACAGCAATGTATCTTTTATTATAATGTCTTAACATGCTTTCCCAAAGAGTAATATTACATACATCCCCTTTTTTTTGGTTTCTGTTTTTTAAAGCATAGGGCTGTAGACAAAATTGCAAAGAAGTTTCCAGACCTGCTTCCGTTTAGTTAAAGCTTTAGATGAAAGTTCTGTTGAAGGCTAAAATGCGCATGCTTTGCTTGGTCAGATTTATTTCTGTCCTCTGCCCTTTAAAGTTCAACAACTGGGATATACAGGTGGAAGCTCTTTATGTAGTTTTTGTTTCTGGTTAAGCTTGGCGATAGGGTTTAAATCTGTAGCACAATCTCAATAAGAATATTTCTCCAGTAATGTGAGCCAAATGTGTACAAAGCTACATGTAAAATGGTCAAACTGATGTTCAGTCCCACTGTTATACACTGTACAAGCCCCAAAGTTTGTTGGTTTATATTTGGTAGTTTGGTTTATTAGTACAATGTCATGCTGCATTGGCACTTTAATTTCCATTGGGACTAATAAATTCTCTATCTGAAATTATTAGTTCAGACGACAGAATTTTTAAATTAGTAACATCTGTTGATGCTCATCATGATATGATTTCACTGAAAGTCCTATTAAAGACAACGTATCAACTCATATATCAAACAAACAACTCAGCCATGCATTATTAAAACTGAAAATGTTTGGCAAGAAAAAGTTTGAGAAGTCGGCCAAAGTCCCGATTCAGACCAGAAACGCGTCTTGTAGCACTCTTCAGAGATTACAGACAAAATTAATTTAGAATAATGAATTTTGCATGAAGATATTGAGGGCTGAGATCACATAGGACCTGATGAATGCCCAGCATGTGTTGAGTGTTGATTGTTATTTGAGACTCTGCTTTTGGAGTGGAGGTCTGGATTCAGCACTAAAGTTCCAGCTGTTTGTTAATATTGAAAGTGTTGGCATCAATTTTTAAAATCAACCAGCTGCCGTGTAGATGAAAAGTTTATTTTTCTGATCGTCTCACAGAATTAGTTCTCTACCTTGATTAAGCTTACACTGTCCAAATGAATTCCTAAAATCACGGGCTGAACACCATCATATTGATGATTAAACGTATGACATCAGCGCCTCAGCTCTTTATATAGACGTCGGTTTTCATTGCAGCGTGTCGTAACTGTCCTCCAGGTGTTTTCTCTGTGGTTTTGGAGCGGAAAATCACCTCCACCCAGCAGCCGCATGCCGGTAAACTTTGTCTGAGGCTGCTGAGGTGCTTAACTCCTCCAGCCACTTGAAAAGGCAGACAGTCATTTATGTGGTTGATGTGTACGTTGGGAAGAATTTTGCATGTGGCTGTAGAATTTTGGGGGCTTGGAGAAAAAAATGTGACATCTAAGCCACGACTGATCACTGTTGGTGGATGTTACTGATCTGTGTGAGAAGAAACATGGGTCCGTTTCACACTCATCTGAACTCGGTTTTTTATGCAAGAACTCAGTTGTATTTCTTGGTGCTGGATGACTCGCAAAGAATAGTATTTGCCGTAGAGAAAAGCACAGATCCAAATTAAAACACACAGTATATTTTAAAACACACCACAGTTAGGAGAGGAAGTGACAATTAGTTGATTGTTCAATTAGTTGTTCGACAGAATACTAATCAGAAACACTTTATTAATAACTTCCAACTTCTCCAATGTGAGGATTTGCTGCTTTTCTCTGTCACTGTAAATTAAATATATTTGGGGGTTTGACTGTTAGTTGGACAAAATAGGCAATTTGAAGATGTTTATGGTTCTGGAAAACTGTGATGGACATTTTTATTACATTTTACAGACTAAATCAGTTATCAGTATAATAATCAAGAAAATAATTGGCAGATTGATCAAAAAAAAAGATTTACCTAGAAACAAACAAACATATTATTTAATACAGAATCCAAAAATATTTTGATCACTTACCAAGTATCACAATTTTATTTATTTATATGTAGTTTTAAATGAATTTAAAAGTTATTTATTAATTGTCTTTGTATTTGTATTTTTTAATTGTAATTGTCTTTTTTTATTAAGCTTTAGAATGGTTAGAATTATTTTACCATTTCTACCTGATCCTTGTTACCTTTATTCCTTTATTTAAAGGAGCCCCGTGGAGATGTCTCATAAACAAAACCGAAGTTGTTACATTCAGGGTTACCCACCGAAACACACTGTGTGCATCATTGAGGTCTAACAAACACGCTGAGTGCATTTCCCTCATCATAAAACATTTGGAAAGCCAACATTTTAGAAAGTATTTAAAATCAGCCTTGTTTACATCTGTGTTATCTAACCTGCTGTCTTCTTTACTTGTGCTGCCACATTGAAGCGTATCCTGGCGTGTTAGTGACACGAATAGTGACACCGCCAGTAGGGTTGTGTTTCTCGTCACCTGCATGCATCCTCATGCGAGATGCGCAAGATAAACAAAACAGGTATTCACTCATAGAAAAAAAAGCTCCATAGGGCTGCTACAGGTCTAAAACTCCAGAAGGAAGCCTTAACTATGAGAACTGTAACACCTTTTATGGCGTTTTATTCATTCTTTTATTATTTGTTTGATTATTTGTCTATAGAGTCGTCCTGCTTTTTGCAGGATAAGTAGCTGCCACCTCAGTGCCAGCTAATGACTGTTTCTTGGTGTGTGAATTTAAAGTAAAATCTCTGTTCTTTGCTTTGTTTTTTAGATTAACAGGTATGCCAAAGGAAAAATATGATCCTCCAGATCCCCGCAGATGTTACACCATCATGTCAGCCGAGGATGCGGCCAATGGGAAAAAGTCTTACTGGGCCGAGCTGGAGATATCTGGTCAGTCTAACCAACTCCCTCTGGGTCTGCTTCCATAAAAACACTCCAGCTGAGGCCTTGAAGCTCAGGTGTAAATCTGCACCTAAACAAATAGAAGTAAACCAGAAGAGTCCTGGGCCACAGGATTAAAAACCACTACAATACATTCTGTGCACTATTACAACATTAACAAAACAGCAAAATATTGTTGCTGTTAGTGTATCAGATGAAAATAATACAATTGAAAAAATACTTTACGTCAACATCCCGGTGAGAGTCAAAATAGAACAGTATGTCAGAAAATGTGTTTAAAAACCAGTATGGCAGTTCTCATACTGGTCTCCTACGTGTTTCGCACTGTATTCACTGTGTGCAAACTAAACTAAAGCTGATCTGTAATTTCTCATTTCTGCCGTTGCAGAAACTAGCACTAGTAAAGTGGAGCTAAAAACGATTAAGCCATTAATCAAGAGAAAATTAATCTGCAACAGTTTTGATAATCAAGCGAAACTGATTTATAGGGAAAAAAAGATGGGCATTTTTTGTTATTTTCTGACATTTTATATACCAATCTAACAATTAGTTAGTTAATCATAAAAATTAGTCAATAGTAATAATTGATCTGCCCAGCTGAAAAGACACATTTCCTGAAAAGACACATTTCCTGACATGATACTGTTGGTTAAAGGACTTATAATTAAGATGTGATCTGTAAACCACATAATTGAAACTCTTTAGACCCCAAACCCTCAGATGTCTCTTGACAACTTCGGACAGATTCACAGGGCTTCTTGGGTTAGGAGTTCATAGCTGGATGAATGTGAAACTGAAAACAGAGTGTTAATGGTCAACAAACTTTCTCTGCCTGATTAAAAGTTAATAACATGCAGCCAGGTGGTCATCAGGTCTCTGTTTTATTTTATTTAAACTTTTATCTATACTTATTAGATATGGGTCAGTCAGTGAAATGATGTAGGTTTCTTCCTGATCGAAGCTACAGAAGAACAGTCTAGAAATGAATGGTTTGTTTTTTCATCTGGTTTAATTCAGCTGTCTTTTTTCTGTAAATTCTTTATTACACTGCAGTAATGGGCCCCAGAGTCCTCTATTAATATTGGGTCATTCTGTTGAATTCAGTTAGTCTGGTTTTAGTGTGACATGATGGTCTAAGTGCTATTTTGTGTGAATTTCCAGCCTGAAAAGAAATGGTTTAAAGCAAACAACAAATCAAAAAATATCAATATTGACATCAGTTTTCAACAGAAGTCTTGTTAACAAAGTTTTTTTCCCCTTGGTTTGATTGATCACAAAGCTCAGATATACAATCAAGTGTTTTTCTAATGTGATCTCAAAGTGATACATCTTTGTAAAGACCATCTGTTGTAACTGTTACCTGTGTTTGTTTTGACACAGGGCGGGTGAGGAGTCTGAGCACCTCGTTATGGACGCTCACCCACCTGACGGCGCTGCACATCAATGACAACAACCTGACCCGAATCCCGCCGGACATCGCCAAGCTGCCCAACCTGGTCTACCTGAACCTGTCATCAAACAAGCTCCGCAGCCTACCCGCCGAACTGGGCAACATGGTCTCTCTCAGGTATGCTGTCCAAAAATCATTTTTGTTGGTCCTGGTCAGGAGAGTCCTGAGATACTTTTAGGAACATCAGTGCACACAGTGTAGTGAAAACATGGGCAGACTGAATTTATTAGAACGGCGAGCTTCATTACAGCAGCAGCCTGCATGAAATACACGGTGTTCATCCTTTAACTGTGTCTCCATTAGGAATGCACGATTTTGAGAAAGAGTCATATTGCAATTATAGTGGACAATATTGCGATTTGCAGGTGCATGCCAATAATATTGAACAAATGGTATTATGACTCTGCTTGTTTAATTTTCAAGGAAAATGCACAAACACTGACATTTTGAAATGTGAATTTCTCAACTTAAACAAAGTTACGATAAACAATATTTATAACAATAAGTAGTAAAACAGATGTAAAATAGAACAAGGGGAGCGTGTTGCTCTACGGAGGAGGCGGCTAGAAGGAGCAAGTATTGGCACACTGACATCCTGACACAACCATACACCACACATCCTTTTGCTAAATTCACATCTGTCCACTGCAGAAACACTATCCACAACCTGGAGGAGGAACTGTACATGAGTGTATTAGTATAATATTATAACATTAAATAAAGTGTATAATGTTCAGTTAATAGTTTACTGTTAGTATAACAATAATATTCATTACTATATTCATTATAATTTCATATAATAGTATACTATTTTACTACTAGTTGAACATTAAATCCAGTTTTATTTCTGTGGGTTGTTTTTATTTATTAAATCCTCGTGCAAGCAAAAGTCACTACATGTGTATCTAATTGGTTAATGCCAAGTACTAACTTGTCAATAATCATATTGTTCAACATTTGAAAGTTTGCTGTAGTACTATGTCAAAATATTTTTAATGCCCCCCCGCCCCATCCAGGCTGTGGTCGGTTGACGAAAAGTGACTGACAAGCATGTCGGCTTTATGAAAAGTTGAACATGTTGAACAACTAAAGACACCACCACAGCTAACATTAGATGGCCAGCAAGCCAAAACCAAGCCTTCCTTATCTTGTCCCTGTTTTCTTCTGTCTTACCGCTTCAGCTGCCGATGACGTCTGTCTGTCTCTGTCACAGAGCGACCGGAGCACCGGCATTTCTCTCGTTGCTCCGGTGACCAGTCTGACTATGTTTTGAACGGTTAGCAGCGGGGCGGGGAAGGGGGTTTTGGTAGGTTGTTGTCTTAAAAGTTGCTCTGCTCATAAATCATTTTTCTGATTGCTCGTAGGCTTATCTGTTTGTAGAGGCACATGCTAGAGCCCAGTGTGGGCGGAGATAATGAGCAGACTGCAGCGCACACACCTTTTCTGTTTTATTAAGTCGCACACTTTTTGCAGTTATGACATGACAACATCGCGATTGTGATTTGATTAATCATGCAGCCCTGGTCTCCAATAAGAGATGGTATATCCTGGATACTCAAAACAGGCTTTTTAAATATGGAAAGAAAAACTTACATACCATTAGGTTTTGTCACAGAGCTTTAGTGGATGGGTAAATTTATTGTAAGATACAATCACAGTACACAGTATGTAATATTGCATCGCAGTAGGGATCTATGTTGTTACGTAGTTTATTTTCTGGAAATTCAATATAGTTTGCTATAAACTGCAGAGCAAGAACACTGGATTTTGTCTCTGATCACTTACATTGCAAGCACATTAGCAAAGGATCTCTAAATGAACAGGAGGAGCCATCATTATTTTAAGACAGACTTGTGCAAATATTCTTTGAAATAAATGACAAAGATGCAATTCAAACTGTAAACACTGACTGTATCATTGAAACCATGTATGAATTTCAGATGAAATGTGTGCATGGTCGAATGTAACAAATAATAACAATAAATGTTATGTCATTTGTCTGTGCTTTGAAAGCATGCAGTGTTTGGATAATCCAGTTAGCCTATTTGCTGACATTTGTCCACCTGTTTGAAGTTTACACACAGGACTGAATCTTGTTATGACTTAATTTGTACAAAGCTTTCACTTAAATTAACAGTGCATATTTTGAAAAATGAATTATTCTTTGGGCTCATTCAAGGGATTACGTTCCAAACAATCCCAAAGCATAGAAGAAAAGTTCTCAAAAACTTGATTAAAACACGGTGATCAAACACTCAGGAGAAAGAGGAAGATTATAAAATGTGTGGGTGAGAATAGCTATCCTGCGAGGCTCACAAAAGCAGCTCGCTTCAAAACAAACAACGTCGAAGATGACAAGCAACGATAGGGAAGACGTAACTGAAGTGACAACAAATGACAAAGTGGTCGAAGAGGTTTTGACAAGGAATTACCGCGCTGTAGGAGAAAGTTTGTGAGAGAAAGAAAAGACTTAGACACAAAATACTGAGATTTTTGTCCTATTTTTTTTTTGCAGGGAATTGCTTTTAAACAACAATCTTTTACGAGTTCTGCCTTATGAACTTGGGAGGCTTTTCCAGCTACAAACCCTGGGGCTCAAAGGTGAGGCTTTTCTTTTATTACTACCATTCAGACCAAGAACTCAGTTGTTTAGTTTAAATTAAATTCTGACAGTTTTAGATTTCCACTATCCCACTATTGTGGATACTTAAAACTGAAGTGGCTGGTAAATTAAGGCAAACGTGTGAGTTTACAGCTTTCCATTTTTATATATAGTTTAAAATTTATTATCTGGTCATTTTGCAGGAAACCCTTTGTCCCAAGACATCCTCAATCTGTACCAGGAGCCGGACGGAACCAGAAAGCTTTTGAACTACATGCTTGACAATCTAGCAGGTAAATGGCTGAGTCGCTTCACCTTACCACACAACCATTTATTGGAACTCATGCATATTTAAACAGCAGTTTATTGTAAACCTGAGCAACGCTGGTATATCATAGCAGGTGTACCATTGTGTTTTGTCACAAAGAAGCTTATCCTTAATTTCTCCCTGCACTGCCCTGTTTCCAGTGCACCCAGAACAGCTCCCTCAAAGACCTTGGATCACTCTGAAAGAGCGAGACCAAATGATTCCCACAGGTACGTTCATCGGGGTCAGAGTGACTGCAGGTTATACCTTGAACTTTCCGTTGGAGTAGAGATTGTGTGTGTCTAGGTGAGATGCATATTTGTTTTCAATTAAGCTGCATCAGGCTAGATTTTTATATGAAATGTCACTTCTTTCATCAACTTAAATCTCCAATTGTGGCATCGTATCTCCACTTACTGAAACACTGTTTCTCTTTCTGCACAAATGAAACTGTGATGGTCAGTGATTTGTTTACTGATAGCAATTTTAGTAAAGCATGTTGTCTCTTAAACCAGTGGTTCCCAACCTGGTGGTCAGAAACCACTAATGGCTCTCAAGTTAACTCAAGAGAAACCTGAGGTGGTAGAAGAGGAAATAGCACTAATCAACTACCAATGTCAGATGGATTGTCTGAAATATTAAAATCACCAGCAACAGTATTCAAATCTTTTTCCAATTTCCAAGAACAATTTAACCTCCCTCTATAGGTACTTCCAGATAAGACACTATATCACGAACCATAAAGAACAGGAGATGGTCAGCAAAGGCCCATACTAAATAGAATATTTTCTCACTGTACTGGAGAAGCACTTGCCAAAAAAACCACACATATCTCACATATACAAAAGGCTGACATCTGACGCTCCACAAAACACAGACTATATTAAGGAAAAATGGGAACTGGAATTAAATGTTATTATTAAAAACACGAATACTAGACTGTCTGATATTCCCATTTTTTGGGAAGAATGCTAAAAAGCATTGATGTAAGAGGGTGTAGAGTTTCACTTAGTTGCCAAGTAGGATGAAACTCACTCACAGCCTCGTCCTTTATTTATAAAGCCCATTTAAACAACACTAATTAGTTAGTTAGTTAGTTAGACTTAATTGTTCCTGGGATGTTGCTCTTTTTCACAGCACTGTACATTACAGGGGAGACACTCATCATCACAATACTTACAAATAGAAATACCTGGAAGTACAACAGTACGACAGGCGAAAAAAGCGGACAAAAAGCTGTTTGCATGTCCAAAATATAAAAATGGCCCTTGTGTGTGTTTCAGTTGTGGGGGCAGTCCATTCATACGTTTACACGGAGCCAAAAATGAGAAACATGCTGTTAAAACAAGGGGATGGCGCAGAAGATTTTTTTTTAAGGTCAAAAATGAATGATTTAATAAATAAAACAATGTTTTTTTTCTTGGATAAGCCTTTATTTTCTCTTTTTCATATCACACTGTAGGTAAAATGGGTTTAAAACAAAATCCAGTTCCATCTAATGTACAGACATTAGAGTGGTGTTTTTATTGAACTCTGGACTATTGGATTATTTGGACTTGCCTGTAAAAGACATTTTCTTTTGATGGGAGGTGGTTTCCATTGTACCTCCAAAACACTGATTTATGTAGAAACTTCCCTGTGTTGGCTTTGATTATTGCTGTGCTTATTTCTGAGGATTCTGTTTGGTGGTCTCTCCTCTCCGTCCTCTCCTGCAGCTGTGTTCACGGTCATGTGCTACAACGTGCTGTGTGATAAGTACGCCACGCGACAGCTATACGGCTACTGTCCATCATGGGCCCTCAACTGGGAGTATCGGAAGAAAGGCATCATGGAGGAAATCACCAGCTGTGACGCCGACATCATCAGCCTGCAGGTAAATGATGAATTTGAAAGTCCATTGCTCACTGGCTCTGAATACACATACACTCAAACCATGGCTCACAGGTGGGGTGGGATGTTGATCAGCCTGCAAATCACCCACCCAAACTAGCAGCAGAGGGAGGCTTCGGCAGACTACGCTGGATGCAGAGTCTGGGAGAAGCAGATAAACAAAAGCAAGACAAGCGATCAAATGCCATAGCGAAGTGGATAGCTACACACTGCATGCTGATCAGTAATGGGGAAGATGTCGATCTGAGGAATGTTCTTAAAATCACAACGTAGTCGCTCGGCCCCGCGGGGTTGCTCTGCTCTTCTCAGGTGAATAGACAGGAGACAAGCGCTCTGTGAGTAAATCGCAGGTGCTCTATGAGTAAATCGCAGGTGCTCTATGGATAGTTACCATGGCAACGGCTTCCATGCGCTAAACAGCTGTAGCCTATTTAACTTAAATTCAAATTATAGTTTAACGTTACATAACTTTACCTGATTGGCCTTCATCGAATTTTGCGGGGATGCTCTGCCATGCCGTGACGCTGGCATGGCTAAATGAATGTGTCACTGGACCAAACAACTTTTACAACTTTTTTAGAGTAGAAGAGAGAGTGTTTGCTTTTTTTAAAGCTAAAATGTACTTGATTTTGACTGGATGTGATTGTAGCAGTTTACATTCTTGCTCAATCTCACTTGTGACCCACCACCTGCCTATACAGTGACTTCTAACAGCCAAGCGAGGATGATTCACTCAGAACGTCCGTTTTAGTAGAGCATGAGGCTGATTTATTGAGCCGTTTAGTCGCGTCAGTGCCGTAATTATTTGTGCTCTGTGGAGAGCAGCGGCTATCAAGTCCTCAAGTAAGTCCAGAATATCCAACCATTCCCCTTCAACACAAGCAAGTCATTGTCAAATAGATAAAGAGGTAAACATTACTGATTACCTGTCCTCAGTTTAGTTTGTTTGTTTTCCCGCTAATATCCTTATTTCCTGCTAATATCACTTCCAAAATTCACCAGTCTCTTTAACTGTCTTACAAATTACCAGGATGCTTCAAAGACATTTGGGAATATTTTTGAATTTTCAGAAGTTCAGAAAATCAGGGAAAAGGGAGAAAAACAGAGAAACTGCTTTATTGGCATGAATGTATAACAACAGTATTGCCAATTATTATATTTTACAACTTCACTTCTATTTATTCTCATAAGATGTTATTTTTGGGCAGGGTTTAGTGGAAATCGAATTATTAAGCTGTTAACTAAACTATATCAAAATGGAAAGTTCTTTACAACATGTGCTACATGGGCTTGGACAAAACCCAAAATCCATCTTTGAAATGGAAAGTTATAGAGATATTGTGGATTTTTGTATGAAAAAAACAGGAACATTGTTTTTAAATGATGAATATTCAAAGAAGAAAGATCCGGTTGAGAGAACTGACATGTGGAAATGAGAACAGCCAGTCATCCTTGGTATGCGATTCATGTTTAACAAATCTCAGTTGACCTTGGTTAGTCTTTCCCATGAGAGAGAGTTTGTTTGTTTTTTACTTTTATGTTAAGGCATCAAGATGCAGTAACCTCATCTGGTGAACTGGGGATTTTATATGTGCTATTTATATTTGGCTGATAGTTGCTCTCACTCTAGTGTCACAGTTAGTAACACTTTCATACATAGATTTCATTGACTTTTTTTTTGATTGCATTTCTTTCGTTGTTTGTCTCTGTAGGAGGTGGAGACAGAGCAGTACTACACCTTGTTTCTGGAAACGCTAAAGGAGCGTGGCTACGATGGCTACTTCTGTCCAAAGTCTCGTGCCAAACTGGTTTCTGAGCAGGAGAGGAAACATGTTGACGGCTGTGCTGTGTTCTTCAAGACAGAGAAGTGAGTTTTACTTTTTACACTTTACAGAACATGCCTTATTGAGTACATTTGTGTGTAGGTTGTTGTATTGTTTGGATTTCTGAGAATGTTTTCTGTTTGAGCTAAGTGACATTTAGAGCGGTGGAGCTTTACAGAAGTTGATGCGAAACTGACTTTTCATTCATGTGTTTACATCATAAATTTAACTGAGTTTTCAAAGTCCTGCATTGATTTTTATGCCGCTTTGTGGATGTTTTTGCAGGTTCACTTTGGTCCAGAAACACACTGTGGAGTTCAACCAGGTGGCCATGGCGAACTCTGAGGGCTCAGAGGTCATGCTGAACAGAGTGATGACCAAAGACAACATCGGGGTGGCCGTGCTGCTAGAGGTCAACAAGGACATGTTCTCTGATGGTAAGAACAGACACACACTCCCTTGTCTTGTTGTACCGTAATCCAGTGCAACACTTTTCAGGCCTCCAAGTGCTTCCAGCTTCCCAGAAACAAGTGAAAAAGTTCACAGACCTTCGGGTCAACGTCTCCATTGCTTGTTTTTCCAGTCAACGTCCCACCATCAAAACATATTCAATTTCCAATGATGTAACACAAGAAATGCGATTCAGAAGCTGATAAATTAATGATAAATCGATAATCAAAATGGTTTTCTGTTGAACAATAAACCAAATAATAGTTTCGGCACATGTAGATTTATCAATCAAGGAAATATTTACTATACATGTGAACCGACCCCCACACATTTGTACTTCTTAAGTTCAACCATTAAAAAGACCATACACAGGTTTTTCATTAATGCACAATATATATATGGATCCTCGGTGGCACTGTTGCAATATAGTGTAGCCAAAAATAAATGAACAACATTGCAGTCAGCTTCTAACCAGAAATCCAAAATTATGGGTTTGCCAAGTAAATAAAAGTAATACAGGAAAATGTATTTTTGCCACTAGGTGTCACTAGTGACTGTGATTAAAAGTCAACAGAATCCACTAGATGTCATTCAGTGGAGGGATCAGTATGTTATATATATAAATAAATGTACAGAATATATGGGTTGGTTATGAAAATATACTTCTAAAATAATATCTGTTTCACGAATATCTTTTGTTGTGGTTTGAATGTATGAGTATTTGTCAGTCCATTGATTAAACTTTGTAGTTAGTGACACGCAACACAGCTTTGCTCCATGTATTTAACCGTGGCCGTACATGTTCAGTAGAACTGCCTCCGGGGATTTTCTATTTTATGTCCCTCCATCTCATTCTTGTGATGTCTCAGATAGGGCTGTACATAACGATTATTTTTTGATTAGTTGATATCTAACGACTAATTTTGTGTATTCTAAATGAAAAAAAAGTTGCCTTTTACTCAATTATCATACCAATTTATCCAAAATAAATATCAAAAACATGTCTAATCAATAAATCAATATTTTATTCAATCATGCTGATGAAGCACATTCGAATAATGAGAATAGCAACATATCTTAAAATGAATCCAATTTCCTCCTCACTGATATGACAATAAGACATTAATTAGGCTACTTAAAACTTTAAATGTTTTTGACATGGATTTATTTCAATATTGAGTAATATACAGTAGGATAATTAAATGTATTTCTGCATCAGTGTGGGGCAAAGAAAATAACATAATAATATTAATAAAATGATTCACAGACAGTGCTGACAGTCACAGATTGTCTGAAACGGCCGAACATTAGATGACACACAGCGTAATGTTACGTTACCATGGCAGCAGTGTGGCAGAAATTACTTTTAACATGAAGGCAACAAAGAAATACATCTTAACGGACCACGTGTCCTCGTGCTGATAATGTACCGTGCTTGTGTGGGGACAGAAAGTAAACACAATTTGTCAGTGCTCCGGGATACTTAATCAGTATCAGCATCAGTTGTGCTGCAGTGAAGCTATTAATACTCCCAAACAGAAAGCGAAAGCGCGGTCTTGTCTGGACCTCATCCCGGGGAATCCCTGCTAAAACCGCATGCAGCAATACTTGAAGGCATGTAATGCGAGTCGACGTATTTACGTAATCGATTACGTTGACGAAACACCCCAGACCTAATCTCCGAGAATCTGAAAAAAATTCTTAAAATTTATCACAAACGTCCACTTGGGCTCAAGGACGAACGGATTAAATTTTAGTTGTCAAAGGTTTAATGTCACTGATATCAAAATGACCTTAACATACACGTTCAACTAACTCAAGCAGTAATTGCAGTAATTATAACAAAATTTCACGCAGAAGTTTCATGGGAGACCGCGATGAAGTGATGACAAAAATGGGAGATTGTGACCATATTTCACTGTTGGTCAAACACTGAATAGGCGATGCTTTTGTCTAAGGTCACTGAGTGGGGCGGCACAATGAATAAACAATAACTAGCACGGTACAGGCTTTCCTCAACAACTATCTATCTATCAATACATCTGTCCATCTATCTATCTATCTATCTATCTATCATTAACAATGTATATTCAAGTCATGTATCATCAATATAGTGAAAACTACACATTTGGCCATAAAATACACTTTATACATTTTTATGCAAGTGGTCACTACATATTTTATGAGTCTGGACAGACATGGATGTAAACTGCAACTTGACTGGTCGACAGAAGTGTAACTGCAGGACAGTAACTCTAGTTCACTCATGCTCTGTAAGTCTCTCTCTTCCTTTTTATTATGTGATTTTACTATCTCAGCACTTCTTTAGTTTCTCAAGTTACATCAGAGCTTTGTACTTTTCTGTAACCAAAATAAGTCCATGGTCAGGTTTAATTTGGTGGTTTGGGGGTTTTAATAAAAAGTTTTCACTCTTGTAATTTTTTTGTTTGCTTGTGGTTTAGGTTATGACATTTCTATAATCCCTTGTAGGTTTATTTTATCTCACCTAAACAGTTTTTTAAACATTTGACCTCTTTTTTTTCGTCTTTGTTTTCAGGCATGAAACCACCACAGGAGAGGCAGCTGATACTGGTTGCCAACGCCCACATGCACTGGGATCCAGAGTACTCGGACGTCAAGTTGATCCAAACTATGATGTTCTTGTCGGAGCTGAAGAGCATCGCTGAGAGGGCCTCAGGCTCTGCTGCGAATGGTTCACCGACCTCCTCCGACCCATCCTCCATCCCCATCGTCATGTGTGCTGACCTCAACTCGCTGCCCGACTCCGGTGGGATTATCTCACTTTCCAGGAGTCTTTTTTTAACATTTCAGTCTCACACTCAGTCTCTCAGTCCTCTTCAATTTATGTTGCACCAAATTTAGTTGTGCGTTTGTTTTATGGTGTCATTGTTGGATAAATCTGTATGAAATAATGTTATTTGCACAGTGTGATTCTCCCAAACTAATGTAGTGTTTAGTCTCATAAATGATGCAGCTGGACACTATACTGTATATGCATAAAGATAAACACAGACAGGGTTTTATAAAATAGGATGGATGTTCTCCATTAATGTCATGGTGCACCTTTACAACAAAATTTTACCTTTGTATGATCCAGGTGTGGTGGAATACCTGAGCAACGGAGGAGTGGCCGAGAACCACAAGGACTTCAAGGAGCTACGATATAATGAATGTCTGACCAACTTCAACTGCAACGGCAAAAACGGCAACTCTGATGGAAGCATCTCACACAGCTTCCAGCTGAAGAGCGCCTATGACAGCAATCTGATGCCTTACACCAACTACACATATGACTTTAAGGTAAAAACCTCCTCTGTGTGTTAGCAAGTTTTCAATACCTAATTTGCTGCTTATTTTCCAATGCAGGCGGTACCACTTTAGACGTGGATCTATTTCTCCTTCTATTATAGACTGCTACTGGTCTCCATTTCGGTAAGGTAGCAACAGACTCTTGAAACTTGCACAACTTGGGTGAATTACACAGCTCAAGAAATTTTCAAAAAGTCTACTAATAGATTCTCAAATTTTTACTGCCTGGAACAATTAAAAAAATACAGTATCTCACAAAAGTGAGTATACCCCACACATTGTTGTAAATATTTGATTATATCTTTTCAAGTGTAAAACTGGAGAAATGACACTTTGCTACAATGTAAAATAGTAAGTGTACAGCTTGTATAACAGTGTAAATTTGCCATCCCCTCAAAACAACACATCACGCAGCCATTAATGTCTAAACCGCTGGCAACAAAAGTGAGCACACCCCCAAGTGAAAATGTCCAAATTGGGCATAAAGTGTCAAGTTTTTGTGTGGCCACAATTATTTTCCAGCACTGCCTTAATCCTCTTGGGCATGGAGTTCACCAGAGCTTCACAGGTTGCCACTGGAGACCTCTTCCACTCCTCCATGACGACATTACAGAGCTGGTAGATGTTAGAGCCCTTGCGCTCCTCCACCTTCCGTTTGAGGATGTCCCCCAGATGCTCAATACGATTTAGGTCTGGAGACATGCTTGGCCAGTCCATCACCTTTACCCTCAGCTTCTTTAGCAAGGCAGTGGTCATCATGGAGGTGTGTTTGGGGTCATTATCATGTTGGAAGACTGCCCTGCGGCCCAGTCTCTGAAGGGAGGGGGATCATCGTTCCCTCAATGAACTCCCCAGCACTCATGCAGCCCCAGACCGTGACACTCCCACCACTATGCGTGAATGTAGTCAAGACACACTTCTTTTTGTGCTCCTCACCTGGTTGCCGCAACACACGCTTGACAAAATCTGAACCAAATAAGTTTGTCTTGGTCTCATCAGACCACAGGACATGGTTCCAGTAATCCATGTCCTTAGTCTGCTTGTCTTCAGCAAACTGTTTGCGGGCTTTCTTGTGCATCATATTTAGAAGAGGCTTCCTTCTGGGACGACAGCCATGCAGACCAATTTGATGCAATGTGCGGCATGTGGTCTGAGCACTGACAGGCTGACCCACCACCCCTTCAACCTATGCAGCAATGCTGGCAGTACTCATACGTCTATTTCCCACTGACAACCTCTAGATATGACGCTGAGCACATGCACGTGCACTCAACTTTTTTGGTCGACCATGGCGAGGCCTGTTCTGAGTGGAACCTGTCCTGTTGCTGAAGCTCAGTTTCAGGGTCTTGGCAATCTTCTTATAGCCCAGGCCATCTTCACTCAGAGCTACCATCCTTTTTTTCAGATCCTCAGAGAGTTCTTTGCCATGAGGTGCCATGTTGAACTTCCATTGAACAGTATGAGGGAGTGTGAGAGCGATAACACCACATTTAACACACCTGCTCCCCATTCACACCCGAGACCTTGTAACACTAACGAGTCACATGACACCAGGGAGGGAAAATGGCTAATTGGGCCCAATTTGAACATTTTCGCTTAGGAGTGTACTCACTTTTGTTGCCAGCAGTTTAGACATTAATGGCTGTGTGATGTGTTATTTTGAGGGGACAGCAAATTTACACTCTTATACAAGCTGTAGACTCTCAATACTTTACATTGTTGCGTCATTTCTTCAGTGAGGTCACATGAAAAGATATAATCAAATATTTACAAAAATGTGAGCTTGGAAAAGCTTGGAGGCCCAGTGTAATTGTAAATAAATAAGTTTATCATCAAGGCATCAAGTTAAAGGACGTGTACTGTTCAACAGTAAGTGTTCAGAAAACCGAATCTAGCTGATGTGATGCAGTAATTGCCATAACATAATTTCATACATGTGGGATGTTTTATATCATTATGAGTGGTTTTGCTGTGGGTGATCCTAGTGGGAATGGAAAGCTCTGAACATTGCAGTGTGTGAGCAATGATTTACCCTTTAGAAAACCAAGCACATCTATCCGGTATTTGAATCTGCATTTGCCTTGTGGTTTCTGGTTCCAAATGAGTCATGCAGGCGTTTGACTGTTTTTTTCTGCACCTGAACTTTTACATTAGTATTAATGGACTTCCCCAACTGTCTTAGACAAACCTCTAACATATAGACGGTCTAACAGAAACACTGATTTCCTTGACTACACTGAGTTGCACAGATGCATCATCAATGAGTTTTTGTTTACTTTAGTGTAAACAAATGAACACATTGGATGACTAATGAATGGTAAGAGATGCAAATGAAATGAGTCAAGCTCAGTGTGCATACATCCACCATCCAAAGTGCAGAGAGCACCAAGTTTTCTGGTATGGAAATATTCAGTGGGCTTATGCTTCAGTCAACAACATTATTAGCAGGTGTAGATTAAAATTACTTAGCTACTACTGACCTGGTTTTATTCCTTGATGTAAACATTAACCCTTCGTATACCAGCCTGACAAACAAGGCAACGGCATCGGCCTACCAGCGCCTCTAAAGCTCACTAATAAACGTAATATCACGTTTGCATAATCCATACAAAATCCAAAGTGTTAAAATAACAAAATACTGTTCATTTTTAATTTTTCTGAATTGTGTGTTTTCAATTTAAACAGATTTTATCATCAGAAAGAGTGTGTAATGATGTGGTGAATGAATACAATTTCAACAACTCAATAAGAAAAAATATTACAAATGTTATAAATATCAATGTATCAAAACAAATGGGCATATAGAAATGTTCAAATGTACGTGTAATTATTATATAGACAAATAAATCATCCCCTATTAAATAGGTTATTTCTTGATTATCATTTATTCCCACAGAACTTCTGCAGAACAGCCACCCTAAGCTACTTGATGTAGATTTCGATTTTTTCTAATGGAATATCTGAGTCCGCCCACACAGCCACAAAGTCTTCAATAAGGCCGTGTCTTGCACGTAGTCTGTCTAAAAGAAGGTCTTTCATCTTCCAATGTGGTTGCACTTTTGAGAGTGTGTTGAAGGGATGAGCTCTAGGTATCTAGCACGCTGACCTCGATATGACCACGTCTGTCTGTGTCTCTCTGTGTGTGCGTGTATCCTCTCTTGGTGGTAAATCAACAGAGAGAGCAGAGGAGAGAATCAGGGTGCTTGTAAATGACACGTAAATGACACCAAAACATCGCAGTATAGTTTTTACGTGCTGTGAATCAGACGCATATAATTCTAGGGAAAACCCTGATTTTTATAAATTGCAACCGCATTTTGGCAGATTCCGTGACATGTCACGTTTAACAGCTGATTCCATTTTTATTATCAAATTCCCCCGATTCCGTCCGCGTTTACCGCATCGCATCACAGTCTCCTGGCTGTAGTTTCAGGTTTGGCGTACATAAATCAAAGTGGTGTCTCATCTAATTATTGGCTGAATGTGAATAAGCACATTTCCCCAGACTTTCCCCTTAAGATAAAATTTAAAAAATATATTCGAAATGTTTACCATATTTTGTCAAATACATTTTTTTTTCATGAAATTAACAGAACTTTTCATCACCAGTTTTGCGATACTCACTGATGCGAATACATTTCCACCGCAACTCAGAATATATTAAATTTGAATGACCTGCCCTCAAATTTATATCACATGATGTCTTTGTATCTGCAGGGTGTGATCGACTACATCTTCTTCTCCAAGACTCACATGAGTGTCCTGGGCCTGCTGGGACCGCTGGACAGCCAGTGGCTCATCGACAACAACATCACCGGCTGCCCCCACCCCCACATCCCCTCGGACCACTTCTCCCTGTTGGCCCAGCTGGAGCTGCAGCCTCCCCTGTCCCACCCGCTCAACCCCCTCAACGGGCTGCACCTGCCGGTCCACAGGTAGTGCAGCCTGAGAGAGCCCTACCCACCCTTCTTACCCCACCTTCAAACACTGCCCCCCCCCCCCCCCCCCCCCCTCCAGCTTTATACAGGACCCTGTACAGGTTACCGATCATGTTCAAACTCAGACACCATCTGACCCCTCCAACCCTAAGACCCACCTATCCAAAAGGAGTGAAGTATTCGCCCGTTTGTTGCTCCTTTTTGTGTTTTTGCACACTGTAAATGTTTTATTTCATTTTTTCTTTCTCCCCTTGAAAAGGCTTGATACCAAATGTTGGGCTTGGGGTGAGGTTGCTATGGTAACCCCCAATGTCAAATGTTGTTTTTTTTTGCCTTAGGTATGATGACCGCTTGTAGATTCTGCTCCTACAACAACAAACCTTAACTAATACTATCAACTTTTTAAAGATAAATCTCCTACACAAATGTGTGCAGATTAGCTAAATTTCATTTGGTGTTTATTTTCTCATTTCACACAGCTGTGAAATAATATTTTTAGAGTAAAAACACAACATAATGTTAATGCTGCATCACAACATGCATGTTGTGTTAAAATCTATACAACTGGACCGCTATCACTCCCAAACTAACTTGACAGGTATTTTAATAAAAGGAGTAGCACTACAAACAACTGAATTTAAGTTAGGAAAGTTTTATGAGGATATGAAAGGTTTGTTTACATCATTCGTCATTTATATAAACACAGGTCCATATTTTCTATTTTGATCAGCCAATAAACATCAAAATACTTAATTCAGATACATGTGAGTAATTATCTGCAATTTTAAAGATTAAAAAGGACTAAGAGGGCGTTTTAAAAGTAATGTAACGTCACTGTTAACACTAACTTGATGTGTTTCATAAGGAACTAGAACATGAATCATCTCATGTCACTGGTGCGGGTCACAAAACAGCACTGATAATATTGACTACAGATTGTTTTAGGGGGCTTTCAGATTGACACTTTATTTATAGTGGAAAATAATGGATAGTATCCCATGTGCTACCAAAGTTTTTTCTGGATCACATTTCCATATTATTTGGGATTATGTTGACTGGGCTTATTTTTAAATAGTGGAAAAGGATGTCACCTGACTTATCCTTCTTGTCAAGTTGCAAATCTCAACCTGAAAGCCACCTCACGGTGCTGCGCGGATGTTACTGAGTTGCTGCATTCGCGCCTATGAATTTCTTTTTCCATAGTACTGGTCTTGTACCTCTCTTTGATCACTGCTAAATATTTTACTTGCAGAGGTGTTCCGCTCAGACGATTCATTCTCACTGTAGTTTAAAAGATGCAACTCGTGAGTTCTCTGCAGCACTATGACAATTAATTCAGGCTAAATGAAAAAATATTTTAAGACATGAAATATATTTGCAACACAATCCTGACATTGACAATGTGCTTTAAACTTTTAGCTTTTGAAGTCATGCTTTTGAACACCTACGGTCTTAAAAGAATCTTGATCGTCCCGTTTCCCATCACCTGATTAGCCAAAGAATCTCCCCAGAATTACTTATGCTCGGTCAATAAGAAGATAATATTATTTACTGGTGCCAGAGAAAAAAACCTCCTGAGAAGAATCTGCTAATGATTTGTGACCAGGAGCCGAATGTATTTCCCAAAGGCTCACTATGAAATTGGTTGTTGGAGCCTCTTAAAGCCAGATTCCTGTGTAAACTTTGTATATTTGTGTCAGATGGATAGAACTAATAGCCCTTTATGTAAGTTGTAACTCAGGGCTATGCTATGCATCCAGCAGTACCTCTCAAACTCTCAGAGTCACATCGTATAAGCAAAACCAAACAGGAAGCTATTGTTCTGAAAATCCTATATAAGCACAGGTAATGTATGTACTGACATACATATATGTTGTTGTTGTAGAAGTCCCTCGTCTTTGTGCATTTTTGATAAAACAGCTTTTGCTCTTTTGCTCCATTCTTAAAAAGAATAACTTGGGAAATTCAAAGTTGTCATATTTTTGAGTCGTCACAAGGTGTAAAAAGTGTCCGGATAAACTTTATTTAAAGACACTTTGGAGTTTTAATTTGGTTTTGTTGTAATGTTTTTGAGAGGCTCAAAAAAAAAAAATGCATGTGCGTGTGTGTGTAATTGGCAAAATTTAGATTTCAGTCAAGTTCAATCTGACTGTAGAATTCTTTTAAAAGATTACAATTGTAATTAGACATTTGACGCCAACTTTCAGTGCTTGACATTTTTCGATACTTAGTGTAACAGACACATTGATATTGAGGTTTGATACCCAGCCCTTTCTATGCAGGAGGACTCAAAAATGGCTGCCTGCACATGCACTCAGTGTTCAACATATCCGACCCATTTCCCATTGTAGTGTCTAGTAAACTCTGACTTTTTGAGATTCAGTTAGTTAAATTAGTCCAAGCATTTGTTCTGTTCAGTATTTGAAAAGAAAAGCCATAACTTTGGGATGAATGCTGTGAGCACCTGTAACCTCAGCTTTAAACCGCAGTCAGATCAGTTTTACCGGCCTGGACGGGCAGCATCAGCTTTGCTTCATTTGCACATGATTTGACGCTAACGCTAATGGATACCCCTCCAGTTTTGGTGGAGTTGATGAAGTCTGTCTTTATGAGCATTTTGAGGCCTATACTTCACTCCTAAAATCACCTTACTGGGTTTTCTGATTTTGTACAACAGCTGTACAGATATTAAATTGCCTTTGATGATGGGGCATCTTTCACATCTGTGAGGGGAATATACCTTTCTCTGATAAAGGGGCGTATTTTTTCTCACAAATCTAAGTTGTACTTGTACTTTTTTCTTCTTTCGGTGCACTAAGATCTCATATGTGAATACAGTACCACCTCCACATCTCTGTCCAACTTTGTTTTTGAACTATGGGCATTTTCTGTCTCTAACACGCAGTCTTTCAATTGGTACTTTGTACAATTCAGTATTAACAAGTTTTTGAGAAAAAAAAGATAAATGTTCTAGGTTTAAAAGCAGTTTGTCTTGATGGCTTTTATTTCTCCAGTGCACATCTACATGTCCGCTCAAAGCGTTTCACGTTCTGACATGATGCTAAATCATAATTATTTTGGTTTATTCCTCTTTATACTTGATGTTTCCCTCTGAGTTTTCACAAAAATCCCTTTCATATCTCTCTTCACATACATCATCCAGTATCCACAGCCACTTCTTTTACTTTTTCCACAATAATATCCAGCAAGTCACTACCACCTATAAGCACTCGACCTGTTAATTTTGTCTCTGTAGAGCGCTCCTCACATACTTTTTCTACAAACAACGTGCCTAGTTTGTACAATTTCTCCAACAGCAGCACTGCCCATGAGACCAAGACGCTCAGAGATTAACCCAGCGCCATCATCCAGCCATCCATCCATCCTTTCATCCCTCCAGTCCTTCATGAACCAACTTTTGGGGATGAAACTGAGAAATCTGTTTTTTGTTTTTTGTATCCATAACATCAAGGATAAATCGGTCATTTCTACCAGATATCTTAAAATGCTCACTTGTTTGTGGTTTCCCTGGTGAGTTTTTAGCAAATTTTCTCTGCAAAGAGGTTGCTGTACAGCCGTCATCGCATGTGATTTCTGAATGTCAAAGTCTTGTTTTTAAATATCTGGCCCCGTTTTGTTTTCAGGTTTTTTTCATTTAAGCTGATTTTACAGCAGTGTGGTCACTCCATAAGGTAAATAATCTTTGGCGGCCAATAGGACACCCAGCTGTGGGAAAATGAGGATTATCTGATAAAGCGTTTAGCATTTGGACAAAGGGTTTGTTGACTGAAATCTGCCTTTACACGTTGAATTTGACAGGCTCTAGCTAGCGCAGGTTGTTGCATCCAAACCGGGAAACATTAACTCTTTTCAGTGTATTAACCTGTAAATAATGATGTGGAAAAGGAATTCAAAAACACAACAAACTCCATATAAGTTTGATGAAAACTAGATTTTGCACAATCTGATACAACCTTCAAGATTGCATGTTGTATCGTGAATATTTTCAGTAAATTTTCTTTGTTAATTTACTATACTGACCACAGGTTAATGCACTGGTTAATTGCTGTGGTCAGTCGGTTTGACAGTTGAAAAACATTTTCAGTTTTCTGTTCTTCCTTCAAAATTGTAATTGGCATCTGTTGTCTTATGAGAACAAGGAATGCAAGGCTGTTGTTCCTGGATGGAAAGATACATATCTAAAGTATTTGAACGTTTAAGCAGTTTAGTTTTATTCATGTTTAGTAAATTAAGAGAAACTGGGTGAGGATCCTCAGCCACCAGCAGTCACCAACAAAGGTGCTACATTTTTTCCTAAGAGGATTTTAAACAACTGCACTTAAAGCTGTTATATGTACCGCCAATGTTGAGTTTCTGTTACCAGATTACAGACTTGCAGCTTTTCACCACATTCGTTTTCAATCCAACCAGCCTCCACCGCAGACAGGAGGAAGCAGCCAGTGAGGGTTTTGTTGGCAGGAAAACATTCTGGTGGAGAGCTGCTAAAATTAGTCAAAGCATGCATCTTGTCTAATTTAGGTGGCAGTGCTGACTTTGTTGTTTTCCTCTGACAAAAAAGGAAAATCCAGATCTATCCTTTGTAGAGGTCCTGTTGACTTGTGTTATAAAAACTGAGTTACAGCTGAACGTTGTAGGTGTAAAATCACTTTGTGTTCTCCAATTGGAATTTTCCTCACGAAAAACCTGTAGAAAAGAATTAATAGATTAAAAAAAAAAGTTTTAAAATCATTGAAAAACACTAAATTACCTCATTACTTATTAATATTTATATTGCACCTTTCTCTAACCCTGATTTTACATATGAAGTTCAGTTTACACTCATCACACTACTCAGTGTTTATAATCAGCGGTATAATTTAATAATCTTTGGCTCTGGAGGGAGCTTTTTCTAAGAGAAGAAAAGATAAGAGACTCAACATTTTTAACAGAAAGCCTGCTTTGCAAACTGGAGGTGTGGGATTTGAAACAAGATGGGGTCTAATTAAAGACTATTGAGCAGCATGTTGGAAATTCTAGGAGCCAGTGTTTGTGCAGTGTTTGTGCAGTGTTTTGGAGCTTTTAAATGAAATGCATTTCCATCAACTTGCAGCAGGATGGGTTTTTTTCTCAGCTGACATTTGGGATGTAGGAGATTTTTCAGCCTCAGTGGTTCCTGAGGGCCCTACGTAGGCTTCAACAATCACTTGGCTCAACACTTGTATGTATAAAAAGAATTTCTTGCCGTATTGAAGTAGTGATATTTACATCAATGAATGGAGGACTTCTACAAAGGCTACAGCTGTATTTAATATGTGAAAGGTTGCACCTTAGTTGAAATCCAACATGCTCAACAGCACTTGTATCATCTCTCCACAAAAAGCCCCAACTCTCTACATCTCCTGAGGCAATAAACATGTAATTTTTGAGTCTTGTCTGTGCTTTTATTCTTATAAGTCAAGGATACAACACAAGCACGTCTGGGGTTCCATACCATCCAAAATTTAATCAAAATACAATGTGGACAGCAGGATTTCATTTACATTATTTAGTCACATTTACAGGAAAACACATCACAGATTTTACTTCACAGTACATATTTGTGGTTTCTGACAACGAAATGTCAACATAAACACATTTAAAAGGTTCTGTACAGCAATAATGTTTTGTTTTTTTTGCTTGCTTAATGAATTCTCCAATAACACATCATACATCTAACACAGTACAGTTTAATTGCTGTAATAATTGTCAGTACCTAAGCACTAGGACAATTATTGTGTAATTATTAGCATTTTTTCCAAAATGATAGCACCATAAAGGCCAACAGATTCAAGAAAACTGTCTACTCAAGGTGTTAAATAGTATAACATTTGAATTACAAAGATTGTTTATAAAACTGGACTCCTACAGTTAATGAACAGCTTGCTAAACTTAAATGAAGCCATTGCTATGTCAAATGTTACTAAATGTGATCAGAAGTTGATTGTGGAAGCAGTGGGTGATGTGGTGGTTGAGCTGGAGATCAAATTCCTGCTATAATAAAAAACAAGAAAATCCATTAGAGACTGAAATGAATAACACTAATTCAGAAATCAATAAAATAATCATTAGATAAGTGCTGTATGGTGATCAGGGATGACATAATAACCAAGTGGGAAATATAGAATATAATACGATTCTAGGTTTTACTACCATTATCGCAATAACTGACGACCAACACAAGAGGAAGCCCTTCCTTTGATACAGCCCAACCTTCAGACACAATAAAATACCAGTAAATACACATTGTCATGCCAAGGCAGAGGAAATTATTCCTTTTTTCAGAGATTTTCCCACGACAAATGAGACTAGGTAATACAAAGAGTCTGAGACAAAAGATAATAGTGTCTCCAAACTACAAAACTTTTGTCCATTTCTCTGTTGATGATGGAAAGCTTAAAATTAGCTTCAGTTTAGGTCTGCATGGTTATTTTCATTATCAATAATTCTGTCGTTTATTTTTTTATGTAATTGTTTAAAATGTCAGAAACTTAGGAAACAATTTCAATTTCAAAAAACCAATCTTGACTTTTATAAAATGGTTTTGTCTGACCTACAGCCTAAATGCAAAGACATTAAATGAAAAACTTTTACTCAACTGACTAATTAATTGCTCTGTAGATCATTTCTGCCCTATTTTTCCCAGTCTACACAAGATATTGTTACAAGTGAAATAGTTTTGATTCTATAAAAGGTTCATATGAAGTATAAGAATACAATAACTCATAGAAAAAGCAAGTACTTACGTTTGCAATTCGGTGAGCAGGACGTTGATCCACTTCTCATTTGGTTTGACACAAACTTTAGAGCCATTTTTCCTGGTGACTCTGTGGAGAAAGAGAGGGATTACATATTGTATGAATAAGAGTGGAGACATTCTCACCCTGGATTTAATGATTGAGTAAACTTGTGTCACAGGTGAGTGATAGAAGTTACGATTTGAAAAGTTACTAGAGGAGTATTTTTGCATTGTGTTAGTTAGACTACTCACATGATTTCAGTCTGGCGACATTGTCCTGAAATAGGAATCACTTCAATTTTCTGGATGGCCCTCCTGTTAATGGGAGAAGAGGTCGTCCGTATGCAGCGACACCACTGCCTGGGAGAAGCTGGGAACATTTTAAATAAAATGTTTAATTATGATCTCAGTCTGTGGTGTTCAATAATAGTCTGACTTTGTTAATCCTCAGAATGAACATACATTTTACACGTGAGAAACCCGGAAAATTAGAATGAGGTTTGACTTAACTCAAGGTCTAGTGAGTAGCTTTTTCTGGAGCTTTCAACCGCATCTCACAGTTTTCCTGAATGGACGGAGTTTGCTTAGATGTCAAGGAAACAGCTCACATGAGCTGGGTATGGAACTTCGCTCATGTGATAATGGGTGGTCTTACAGCGAACTTCACCAACTGAGAAAGACCATGTTGATTAAAGCTCCAGAAATAGCAAGTATGTGAACCTTGGGTTAAGATTTTAAAATGTTTGTCACACAGCAGAATGTAACTACCAGTATTAACTTTCAACTATAAAACTAAAAGTTTAATAAAGCTGTATACTTTATTATTAATATACATTAAATTATTATTAAAGTACTGCAGTTTGATGTGTTTCATGACAGGATAATGAGTATAGTAAGTATAAAACAGGTCAAATGAAACAAGATAAAATTATTTAACATTAAAATAGGACAACAAATTGGAACACAGTGAATATGAAAAATATGAGACAATTGTTACCGAAAAATAAAATTAGTTTTTGTCAAATTGCCTGGATGCCGTAAGATATCTAAATGAATATATTGAAAAAATCTGGTGTTGAAGCAATATAAAATAGTTATTATAAGGTCCCTAAAAATATTTGGGCACTTAATGTCTGGCTTGAAAATGAGCAAAATATCATTGTATGCAGATGATAACTTATTGTTTCGTTCACTTTAGTTGCACAAATTA